CTCAATCGTTCCGAGATTATCTGACCAATCACGTCCGTGGTATGATATCATGCAGCGTAGAGCGTCTTCCAGAATCAGATTCTGGCGTTCGGTTTGTCCATCGTCTTGGGCACGATAGGAAGTTGTCGTGTGCAGACGAATTCCCATTAGCTTAGCCAAGGATGACCAGAACTTGGCGACGAACTTGGAATCTTGATCGCTGATGATGATCGATGGTAAACCGTGATGGCGAACAACGCAATCAAAGAAGTGATACGCAGTCTTCTGTGCATCATCAGTCCGGTTGCACGCACGATACTTCGGGCGCTTGGACAACTTGTCGACAACAGTCAAGATTGCATCAAAACCATTGGAATCAGGTAATCCAGTGATAAAGTCCATAGAGACGACAGACCAGCATTCCTCAGGAATCGGAATGGGAATCATCTTGCCATTCTTGCGAGCATTGCTGTGTTTCCAGCGAGTGCAAGTTTCACAACTTTGCACATAATCGCGAGCGTCTTGGATTAAGGTGGGCCAATGATACCATTGCGAAATGCGAAGGTACGTTTGATGAGCTCCAGGATGAGCAGCAATATTGGAGTCATGAAAACAAGAGATGATGGAAGTTCGAAGATGATTGTCCCGAGTAAACGGAACACACAAGCGCATCATCGTCTGATACTTGCGGAAAAGTAAACCATTTTGTTTGACAAATGGTTGTTCCGGATGCTTAAAACGATCTCCGTAGTCTGGGCAATTGCGATATCCAGCAGCGAACTCTCTGCTAACCGAATCAGACCAACCGAGCGAACTCCAATTTTGAGCTTGTTGGGTCACATTGGTGGCCACAACAATATTCTCAGCCGCAGCGACGGTACGTGGAGTTTCCACTGGTACATGTCGGTAAGCTTGAGCTAAGGTTGGAACAAGGCGCGTGTAGTAACCAGCAGCAACATCCTCCCCACGAAATTGAGGGCGAGAGGGTGGTCGAACCAAATGTTGGTTAAGACTGCGGTAGTCGGTAGTAACGCGTCGATTCGTCAGGTTTCGAGCTGCACGGGTGTGGCAGCGCGTGGTACACTGATGAAACGAAACCGTATTGATCGCATGCTCCGAAGATTGACGCGACAACGCATCGGCAACCCCATTGAGGTGTCCCTTAATGTGATGCAACTTGAACGTAAACTGTGCGAAAAACGTCAAATAGCGAGCTAATTTCGCTGAAACCTTCGGGTGGTGCAAAAACCATTTGCAAGCAGTGTTGTCTGTGTAGATATCAAATTCACGACCATATAGGTAGTGACGCCACTTGTCTAACGCTAATTTAATAGCGAAGAGTTCTTTCTCGTGTGTTGGCCAATTAATCTCGTGAGGACCAAGTTTCTTCGAGAAGAAGGCGATCGGATGATCTTGACCGAAACGAACTTGAGAGATAACGCCACCAACACAGTAGCCAGAGGCATCTGTTGTCACGATGAAACGTTTCTCGTAATCCGGTAACTGCAACACGGGTGCTTCTTGAAGAGCGGATTTGATTTCCTCAAACGATCGCGTCTGTTCTGGCCCCCAGCTCCAGACATGTTTTTTCTTGACAAGAGAACCAAGAGGCAACGCAATAATGGCGTAATCACGGATAAAGCGACGGTAATAACCTACGAGACCCAAAAAACTTTGTAGTTGCTTTTGGTTTAGTGGCGTAGGCCACTTTGCAATTGCTTCAGTCTTGCGAGTATCAACAGCAAGTCTTTTGGCAGAAATCGTATAGCCGAGAAACTTAACTTCGGACTGACCAAAGTGACACTTCGAGAGATGACAGAACAAATTCTCACGACGTAGAACCTCGAAGAGAGTTTGAAGATGCTCAACATGCTCTTCCAGACTGGTGGAAAAGACACAAATGTCATCCAAGTAGACAACAATGAATCGGTACTTCGCAAAGAGTACCCTCATAAGGCGAGTCCAAACACCAGGCATACCGGTCAATCCCATAGGAGCTACACACCACTGGTAAGTTTCAGCGTGCGTGCGAAAGGCGGTATACTTGCGACTCTTGAGCGCGATACGCATCTGGTGATATCCTTGAGCCAAATCTAGAACTGAAAAGACGGCACAACCAGACATCTGATCGAAGAGTTCGTCGATGCGAGGCAGTAAAATCTTTGGAACGATCGACTGCGAGTTCACATAGCGATAGTCGATGACCCAACGGATAGGCAAAGTCGAGTTTCCAGAGCGTACCCACTCAGAGCGAGACAGCTGATGTCCAGAAGTAGGATCTTTCTTTGGAATCCCAAAGATGTTGGACACCCAAGGAGAATCAGAAACTTCGATCCATCCTTTCTTCAGCTTCTCTGCAACGAAAAAATCTAGTGCATCCTGCTCAACCTTAGACAGGCGGAACGGAGCACGGCTACTTGGAACAGCATCAGGTTTCTTGTGGAGTTCGAAATCTACACGACGTGAAGGCGGTAAATCATCCGGTAAAGTTTCCGGAAAGACGTCAGTAAAACGCTTCAATAAGTGAGTGATCGGAACAGGAGTCGACTCACTAACTGGCGTGACCGCACAAATCTTGACACGGTACACTTCCTTGTACACATGTTTCTTCACGTTACATTTAAAGGCAACAGCAGCAATCTCCACAGCTGCTTGACTAGCAACCGTTGATGGAGGTGCACAAGACACACTTGGAAACGAAATCTCATGCGAACGCCAATTGATACATGGCTGAAACTTGGTAAACCAAGGTTTTCCCAAGATGACATCATGGGCAGATCCAAGTGACCATTCCATGACTTGAAGTTTGCGGAAACGGTAGCGACCGAATTCAATAGTCGCTTGACCTTTCTTCACAGAACGCACTTTCGTAGAAGTTCCATCGAACCGCGTGACTTGTGAGATACCAGACGTAGCGGTGTTAGCGACTAAACCTGGGCGAGCAACATTGCACGTAGCACCACTGTCGAACATGATGACGACAGGTTTCCCATCACAGGTCCCTTGTTTACGAATGAGCTCGTTCTCACGATGCATGGACGACAAGGTGGACGTGGAAATCTCTTCCACTTCAACAACCTCAACCTCGTCATCGGAACGGGTCATAGGCGCTCGTTCAGCAGCAGCAGCAGTTGTATGAGGAGAAGAATTAAAGTTCGCGGCAGATTGCTCGTGACGGTTCTTTCAAGCATACTTCTCCTTGTTCTTCAACTTGAAGCACTGCTAAATGACATGACCAGACTTCTTGCAGTAACGACATCGCTTGTTAGACGACGAAGAAGAAGCAGAACGGCGATTTCTAGTACTACCTGAGTCAATTTCCATTGGCTCGGGTTCGTTCTCCTGAGCACGCATAGGCGTGGCTTGCTTTTGGTGTGAATTGTTGTTGACCTGAGAGCGTGATCGGTCCTGCGAAAAGAACGGTGGACGATAGTTCTTACCGCGGACATGATGCGATCGATCATACGCCAAAGCAATCTTCATTGCTTGCGACACTGTTGTACAGCGACGATATTGCACCTCTTCGCGCGTAGGACTGACTAGTCCACGTGTGAAGTAAGTGATCTTGTCCAACTCACTCCTGTCTGTCACTTGCATGATGGCTTCACGGAAGCGAGAGATGTAATCTTCCAAGCTAGAGCAAAATTGCTGCTTGAGCGCGTACAATTGATCACGCAAACGCTCTTGCAAATCCGGAGGCACAAATTCATCGGTCAACCGGGCCATAAGGTCCTGCATGTCCTTGATATCACGCTTGTTTAGCTTGTACTCCTTTAAGGTTCGCAGTAGTAATGGCCAAAATTCGAGAACTTTGTTTGTCGTTTTGCCAATCGATGTTTTTGGCATCAAAGTACTGAGCAAGTTGCTCGAAGTACAAATTAACAGATTCTCCCATCGTGCCATGAAATTCAGGCAGACGGATACCTTCCACTTTCACTTCACGCTTACTCATGGCTTCAAGCAGTTGTTGCTGCTTGTCAACCATTTCGATGAGTTTCTGCGTGATAGCGTCAGTAGACCATCCTTGAGGATTCAAGGAAGTCATGGTTGATTGTTGTAAAATTCAGCGATGAAGTGCCAAAAAGGTAGTCGGGTACAGGTGGACAGCGACGAGGGGTGCAGGTACTGATTGATCCGGTTCTTATAGACCAGACACTTACAGTACACACGCAATCAACGATAACGCTGATGAAGGATGCGACGTTAGGTACGGGTACTAACTTGATCCGGTTCTTATAGACCAGACGCTTAGTGCAGTACACACGCAAAATTTCAACACGGCAAGCCGTATGAAATAAGGTCGCAGCGAAGAAATTCGACGAATGTGGAGACGAAGAACGACGGCACACGCTCAACGAGCGGCTTTCCACGTGTCGCGTAGCGAATATAGAATACTCCCGGACGAAAAACAGCAAGTGCTACCAGATGTGACGACTGGTGAGAGCACGGCGCAGAGGAACAGCGGCGAGGAGCGAAGCGGAGGAGGGCGGCGAGAGTCCAACGATGGGGACTCGAAGGTAAGGCGTAGGAGGCAGTTGATGTGCCTCGAAGAAGGTAAATTGGAAAGTGAGATTGAAATGGTTAGTTGTTTGTCGGCTACGAGGAAGTGCTTGTTAGCATTCCCTTGGTATCCTATGTAAGTATATGCATTTCTCTATACTATGTTCTAAGTAGTCGTTGAGTCGAATCTTGAAGTAGCGTAGCGTAGTAGTGAACCGCGGCTCATTTGAACCGGGTCAGAATCTCCATAGTGAATTCAAATGAAAAAGAATGACTGTCATTGAAGTTCCATGTTTGGCAATACTCATCCAAACATGGTGATTGCCTTCCGGTCAGGCGTGTGTCTGCCTGGCCGCTCATTGGCAACTTAAGCAAAGACATGTAGGAAAGAAATAGAAGAAAGTAGGACGCATCGCTGGCTGTGACGTTGGCGCGTCGTTACAAAGTTCGTGACTACTCTAACTACAAGTGTCTTGGGTGGCAAGAGCGAAGAGAAACGTATCTCTCTAATTTGCTCTTTTACCTGATCGTATTCTCGGAAATGGGGGAGATCCCGACCCTTCCAAGGCAGAAATGAAGGCGCGATTCGTCAACGCTAAACTTTCGGATGACCCGACGTACCCGATGGACCCAATGTACTGTGCATTCTCGAAGGAAAAGTCGAAGACGTGCGCTGAGTTCGGGCTCAGTAGCTACGACGCGAATCCCATTATGTACGAGCGTGACCAGTACTGGAACAAGAGTGCTACGATTCCGAGTCAAGCCAGCGTGTTACTTCTTAGTGGGAAACTAGACCCCCAGACGCACCACAAGTACGCGGACGGCCTTATTAAAGCATTGAAGGGCGACAATAAGGAGCTGATCTCGTTCGACTACGCTCCTCGCGGCATCACTTCGTCCACACATTTGGTGGCGGGTGATCCGAGCAGTGTAACGTGCGGGACGAAGCTGCTCCTGTCGTACGTGCAAAGTGGCGGCAATCTGAAGAAAATGGACAAGTCTTGTGTCGCTGAGATGCCAATTTTCGACCTCACGATTCCTCCCGGACACCTGCGAGTGGTGACGTAGGGTTCGTCACGGGGGGATTGTTCTCCATGTGTCGATCGCTTCTAAGAGTAGGAGCCATTTAAATGTAAATACACTTAAATGTCAACTTTAGGAAACTAATCAGGAAGTAACGTAAACACGTAAGTGCCGGGCAAAAGGCCGCGACAGGACTGCGGTGTCTGGCGAGGCTGCTCTTCTCTGCTGCTCTCTGATGAGCGGCAGGCGTCAAAACGCAAAGTGTTGAGCAGCCTCCGCCAGAACACCGCTGTACCGCAAAAGTAGATTAGTATACAAATAGCAAATAAGTCAATACTAAACTCTAGATAAATGCACTCTCGTTTGAGTACACCATCTTGGCAGCGCACAGCCAACGATGTCCTTGTGCATACAGTCCTTGGTATAGTCCTTCGCCATTGCACGCATGTGTACTCAGTGTAGCCGGTTGTAGTGCAGCCGCAAGCTGCACTGCCAGGCGCATGAGTGTCCTTGGGATGTGTCTTTGCAGACACTGGCAGTGGACGGTGGCTCGTAGATGGGGGCACCGGACACTGGCAGACTGCAATGCACTGGCGCTCGACACGCAGGTAAGTTTTATAGCTCACACTCCCACTTGATCTCGGCGACGCACTTGGAAGTCGACGCGATCACACACGCGCATCCTAGTTGCTGCCATAGTCCTAGTAGTAGCGTAGTCGCAGCTCAAAGACAATAGCAGTCCACTCAGTAACAGTACTCCCACTCGATCGCCCTCGTCTTCATCAATGTCGCTCAGGTACAGCCTCCGCATCAACAGTAGTAGTCAACGCAGTAGCAGTAGTCGTAGTTGTAGCCATGTCCTCGGATACGTTGTCATCGCTCGACACAATAGGTAAGACTTTCATAGCCTTGCGAAAGTGTGTGAACTTCACCACTGCAAGTGCCTTTGTCATTATATCGGCCACCATATCATCAGTTCCGATGTGTTGGGTTGTAAGTTGCTTCAACTCCACGTGGCGTCTGATCATGTGGTACTTGTTATCGATATGTTTCGATTTCGAATGTTTGCCAGGTTTCGCAGTTAAGGCAATAGCTCCTTGATTGTCTCCCAGTAGTTGAGGTACTGGATGCTTCCAGCTCAACTCTTTGCATAGGCCAGCAAGCCACAACAAGTCCTTGGTCGCCTCTGCCATTGCTACGTACTCAGCTTCACAGGTACTAAGCGCGTTGATCTCTTGCTTGCGAGATGCGTAGGAGATGACGTTGTCGTCCAGCATAGTGATGTAGCCACTGATACTCCGTCGATCCACAGGGTCGTTCGCATAATCAGCATCAGAGTAGCCACTAACTTGCACATCAGTCTGTAGCTTCACATTCATCACTAGTCCGTAGTCACATGTAGCCTTCAGGTAACGCAGTACCCTCTTGGCTTGTGCGAAATGCATATGATCATAGCTCGCAAGATACTTGCCCAGGTGTCGGGTAGCATGAGCTATGTCAGGTCTCGATGCACTAACGAGGTACTGGAGAGCACCCACCAGTTCTCTGTAGGGAAGATACTCCTTCGAAGCAGGCACGTCTGTCTTCGAGGGCGTCGTAGCTTCTGGTGTAGCGCAGCCATTACAGTTCTCCATATGAAAACGCTTCAACACCTCCAGTACGTACTGCTTCTGGCAGTACACTATTTGCCGGCGCGGCCGGTCAATCAGGATCTCGACGCCTAAGAGATATTTGACTGTGCCCATCGTCGTGAGCTCGAATGTCTCTTGCAGTGAGGCAGCGATTGTGGCACACAGGTCACGTGAACCCATCAGCAGTAGATCGTCCACGTATACAGTCAATAGCAACTTGACTTCACCATCCTTCCTCAATGCATATAGGCCGTAGTCAGAGTCCGTCCTAGTAAACCCCATCGCAACAAGCTTCGTATGAAGCGTGCGATTCCAAACGTTCGGTGCTTGCTTCAGTCCGTACAGGCTCTTCAACAATCTGCAAATGGACCCAGGTCCATCCACCTGGAAGCCAGGAGGCTGCTCCATGAAGATAGTCTCGTCCAAGTCTCCATACAGAAAAGCCGTCTTCACGTCAAATTGCAACACCTCCCAACCTCTTTGTACAGCGTAGTAGATAGCCGCACGTATGGTTTCGAACCGGATCACAGGTGCATAGGTCTCAGAGTAGTTAATCCCAAGTTGTTGTTTGAATCCATGGATCACTAGTCGCGCCTTGAAACGTTTGATTCGTCCACGCTCATCTCGCTTCACAGCAAAGACCCACCTACACGTTATCACCTTCACTTTCTTGGCATCTTTGCGGGGTACAAGTTTCCAGGTCTTGTGACCCTTCAACGATTGAAGTTCCACCAACATTGCAGCTCTCCACTGCTGCCAGTACTTGCTTGCACGTGCTTGTTTGTACGTCGTCGGAATCTGCACATCCGTAGTCATAGCCTGCACTAGGCCTACCACGTAATCCGACAATCGAACGTTCGCCTTCTGCTTCCTTCTTGGTCGCTTTAGGCAGGGCTCTCTTGATGGAGATTGAATCTCGAAGCCACTTGTCTCCTTCTCCACCATTGCAGGTTTCTTCTTTGTTCTGCGTCTCTTGCGCTTCCTCACTTCCAAACCTTCCTCGGTTTCTTCAGTAGGATCCTGCAACATGGCTGGTGCTGCAACACCAGCAGTCTCCGCACTGTCCTTGCTCACAGGTGCGTCAACGATTGACAAACTTCCACTTGAACTTAACTCAGTTTCTGCAGGCTCGTCAGCAAGTGGTACCGCCTCAAGTGGCTTCTCCGCATTAGAGATGCCGTCACTCCAACCTGGAAGGTACGTCTCCATGTTGGTCTTGATGCGCGCCACAGGTACAGTCTCGCGTAGAGTATGATCACCATCAAAGAATGCGTTCTCTAATAGATGCTTCATGTAGATGCCATCGGTTGTGAACTCTTCATGGAACTTCACATTCCCACTACGAGCTGTCACCACTTGAGCTGTCACCAGGTCAATGAACTTGTAGCCTAGGGTCGATTCGCTATAACCCAGTAATAAACACAGTCTTGCCCTTGCTTCCAGCTTTTCTTTCGCTTGTCTTGACTCAGGGGGAATACGCACGTGTGCCAGACAGCCCCAAGTACGCAAATCATCCAGCATGGGTTCCGATTCGTACAGTTTCTGGTGCGGGGACACCAATCCTAAAGGCTTGGTGGGTAGCCAGTTTAACGTCGTCACCACATGCAGGAAGGCTTCTCCCCACAAGGAGTTGGGCATGTGTGTAGCCATCAGCATCGCTCTGATTCTTGGTAGAACCACACCATTAGCACGCTCCACAATGCCGTTCTCTTGAGGAGAATAGGCGTTCGTAAACTGCTGCTCAATCCCTTGGTCGACGCAGTAGTCACTTAGCTCCTTGCTTGCAAATTCACCTCCTTGGTCAGAGTGTAGTCGTCGCACCTTCTTCTCAGGAAAACGAGTTCGCAGCCTGTTCAGTAGGACCTTGATGTGAAACGTTGCTTCACTCTTCTTCTTGAGTAGGAACGGCCACTTGTACCTTGTAGACTCATCTATGATAAAGAGAAACATTGTAGCTCCATCCACAGACTGTTCGTTCACAGAGCAAATGTCCATCATGAGAGTTTCCAGAGGTTCGGACTTCCGCGATGGAATCCGTTTATAAGACATTCGTTTTGCCTTACTGGCAGCACAAGCAACGCACTCGTAGGAAGTCAGACCTTTTGCATTCATCTTAACTCCAACATCGAGTTTGTTTGCCAACACTTTCACCGTCTCCATGCTCATATGACCAAATCGTTGGTGAAGCAGCTCCATGGCTTTCTTGCTGTCCATGTCCTCTTTTAGAGCCGCCATCACCATTACTCCAGTCACTTTTTCTGCACGTAGTCGGTAGATACTGTCACGCATCATGAACTTGAGTGATGTGCTTGGCTTGGAGATCCAAGCAGTCTGTTGGTCCTCTGAGCATGTCAACTTGAAGTTGCCCTTCGTTTGTAGGTAGCCCAAACTAATGATGTTCACCTTCGCGTTCGGTGTGTACACCACGTCGTCCAGGAGACGGTCCTCGAGCTGGCCAGTTGCCTGGTTAACAACACGCAATAGCACAGACCCACAAACAGAAGTGTGTTCAGTTGTGCCATTCGCAAAGTCAAGTCGACTAGCTTGGTCTTCCCTTATGGTAGTAAACAATGACAGGTCACCACAGACATTTGCCTGGGATCCTGAATCAAGTATCCACTCCACAAACTCAGACTGAGCTGATTGCATACCTTGGTTCTGGTTCACAGCGTTGACTTGACGAGAGTTGGGTGGTCTGTTCTCACGACGGTCTTCAAATCGACGCGGAGACATGTTCCGCCCTTGGAAATTGTCACGTCGAGGTGAAGGTCCTCGTCCTCTCGAAGGATTGTCACGCTACTGCTGCTGCGGAGACGACGGTCCATAGCGACTCAGTCGATCATCACGTTGAGGTGGCGGCTCATAGCGACTCGGTCTCTCGTTACGCCACTGCTGCTGACGCGGTGGAGATCGATAACGCCCTGGATTTCCTCTTGGTTCACACCCTCGCATTGACGGAGAACGGCCTCTTCCTCTTGGTGGAGTTCGTTCTCGATTGAAGAATCGGGGTGGTGAACGACTTCGTCCTCGTCCTTGAATAGGAGGGTCAAAGTGTCCAACATCTTGACTCCAGAGTCCTCTCTCGTACGCACTCTCCAAGTTAGGTCTGCAATCATTGCGCATCCCTGATTCTTGGCGTCTGTTAAACCCGACATCAGGACCTCGACAGCTATCCCCCGGCACAGCCGAACCCCCTTGTGGTTCAGCTTGATTGCGCCATGGCTCAAGTGTAGGCCCTTTCGAGTTACTCGACAGTCCTTGCCCCAAGTAGTAGATGACTGATTCCCACGTAGGCACCAATCCAGCTGTAGACCGATTGCCCTCCCACTGAGTCTGCGCAGTACTCGATACAGTAGGTTGCATGTTTTGCAGTACAGTAGCTTGTACACCCTGTTGAACAGCAGGTTGTCCAGTAGGTTGCACTTCAGGTTGTATCGCAGATTGTATGGCAGTTTGCACAGCTACAGCTGGTGCTTGCAGTGTAGGCAGTGAGGTTGATTGTCGTTGTTGTAGTCCTTGTCCTCCAACTTGTATGTGTTGAACAGGAACTCCAACTTGCAGCTGCAGTCGCTGCGTTGCTTGCGCAACCGACGATTGAGTTCGTTGCGTACTTGCCCGCACCCCTTCAACAACACGACGCTCTCCTCCTTCTTCACTTTCTGCAGGAGACGTTAGTGACCATGCAGGTGATTGCGTAGCCGTAGACGATAGGGCAGCACCATCCGTAAGGTCAATCGCATTCGCATCGCATAGTGATAGGCCAGCAAACAGTCCTTGGCCATCTTCTTCCGACGCTACCGCATCCACACGACGTACAGAGTTCACCAGCGACACGGGAGCCCTTAGTTGTCTCTCTTGCAGCTTTCTCGCGAGCTCTGGCTTCAGTTGCTGGCCAGTGAGAGCCGTACACTCGGCATACCAATGTCCTTCTCCTTGACAGTTCGCGCAGTTTGTGCGCTGCTTCTTATCTGCAACGCCCTTAGATCGCTTGCGCTGTTGCTTGTTGCGCTTGCGTCCTCGGGCTTGACCTTGTCCTTGGTCCGTTCCGACATGAGCAATTTGCATTGAATGCGCGACCGGTTGTCTGGTCTGTGCACGCAGCTGGTCACGCTGGTGTTCAGCAGCGCGTAGTCGTTGTAAAGCTTCAGCAAGTGTAAGTGTCTTACGATCATGGTTGTTAAGCCAATCGCCGTGTTCACGGGCGAGATCTTTAAACGCTTCCACGCTGTTCGATAGTAGTAGGCTTGCATGTTGCCACTCAGCAAACTCACCATTAGCTTGATGTAGAAGTGTCACCTTCTTTGCAATGTCGTCAGCATACTGCGATACTGACTCGTTTGGCTTGAGCCGGCGCGTCACTAGCTCTTGCAGTAGGTAATCAGGATTAATACCATCTCCAGCCTCAAAGTGCTGCGTAATCGCATCGTAGAGCATAGCGGCGGCGTCCATGTTGTCGTGGATGTCGTCGATTTTGAACGTCGTACGTAGGTCAACAGACAGCGACAACGCGAGTGCTGAGAATGCCTTGTTCTTGCGCGACTTATACCACACGCGATATTTGTCACGACGCATGCCTTCTACTGCATCGTAACGTTCAGGGCCATAGGTGATGTCTCCCAGCATCTTCGGCTCGAAGTGCAACGGCACCTCGCTCTTCCAGGCCTTGTAGTCGCCTTTCAGATGTAGCTTGGGCAGCTTGATCGGAGGCGAGTTGATAAGGACCTTGGTGTACTCAGCCAGCTCGCCGTCGTTGTAGCGGCCAGTAGGGTTCATGTTGTCTAGAGGGCGCCACGGATCGTCAGGGTCTCGGTCGCCGTTTTGTTGGTTTAGCGGCGACTGGGGAGGATTGTCAACTGGCACGGATTCTTCCGTGTTCGTCGACGAAAGTTTATGCATACTTTCGAGTAACATTTGGAATAACGGGCGGCCTCCCGGGATTCCAGCCAATGAACGAATTAGTCGTTCTGCATCACTGTGCGACAGTGTTGCGTCATTGTTCAAGCTTGAATTTCCTGCCAATGGGGTTGAAGCTTGATCTTGATTGGTCGAAATTCCAGAACTTGTGTCTGGAACGCCAGCAGCCACGTCAGTCGCTGATTGGGCTCATAACCAGTGGTGACGTAGGGTTCGTCACGGGGGGATTGTTCTCCATGTGTCGATCGCTTCTAAGAGTAGGAGCCATTTAAATGTAAATACACTTAAATGTCAACTTTAGGAAACTAATTAGGAAGTAACGTAAACACGTAAGTGCCGGGCAAAAGGCCGCGACAGGACTGCGGTGTCTGGCGAGGCTGCTCTTCTCTTGCTGCTCTCTGATGAGCGGCAGGCGTCAAAACGCAAAGTGTTGAGCAGCCTCCGCCAGAAACACCCGCTGTACCGCAAAAGTAGATTAGTATACAAATAGCAAATAAGTCAATACTAAACTCTAGATAAATGCACTCTCGTTTGAGTACACCATCTTGGCAGCGCACAGCCAACGATGTCCTTGTGCATACAGTCCTTGGTATAGTCCTTCGCCATTGCACGCATGTGTACTCAGTGTAGCCGGTTGTAGTGCAGCCGCAAGCTGCACTGCCAGGCGCATGAGTGTCCTTGGGATGTGTCTTTGCAGACACTGGCAGTGGACGGTGGCTCGTAGATGGGGGCACCGGACACTGGCAGACTGCAATGCACTGGCGCTCGACACGCAGGTAAGTTTTATAGCTCACACTGCGTGGTCTACTAGGCACGGACGATGCATACGAGGGCGTCTACAGGGCACAGTCAGGAACAAGCCAACCTTCCTCGTAAACCTGGAAGCGGTAGACGTTGGAGCCTTCAAACTTTGAAGTTCAAAGTCAAATTTTGCAAGACTTCGGTTCAAAGTGTGGTCCACATTTGGCTGTACACTTGCGATCTTTGCGTCTTGAAGTTCATTCCTACAGTGTTCGCTATGATTTCCATGTTGTCTCTTCACCGCTTGATACTCTCCTACGTCATTGCAATCTCCATTGGCCTTTGCATCCGCAGTGCGAACGCCTCCATTGCGCCTCGATCGTATTTCTCCAGTGTTCGCACCCCTCAGTCACCAAACGACCGCGTTATCGCAGACGCCGCCCATGTATCAATTGTTTACGACGATTAGCAAAACTGATAGTGTATTCATGGACCTTAATAATTTCTGTATGACAGTTTGCGGTGGATCAGCTTCGCGCACTGTCGGACTCTGGTATCTACACGACGCTGTCGCTGTCCAAGATCCACGCAGCAGCGACGGAGGTGTGTTCTTGGTATCCTTACGGACATATGCAGCGCCCTTTAACTGTCTGTATGCAGCTAGGAGACTTCCATTACGTGATCCACCTACAGGTAGCGCTATCGTCGCCCTATTTCCGCAGTAAACGACAGGAAGAGGACTTTGAGATGATGGTACTTGAGAGCAAGCCTCGTATAGACGAACGTGCAAGCGGCAAGTTTAACGTCACTCGCAGTATTGCAATCGACGAATTTCCAGAAATGGACGAAGACGCTATTGAGAATTTCTGGGTTAAAATGGTGGAAGACAGACGTCAACGGCGTCGTGAGCTATTCGAGCAATGGGAGCGGGAAGACACACTAGAAAACGCAGAACAAGACGCTCCCCAAGTTAAATCAAATGAAGTGAACACGGAGCAACCAGAGAAAGTGACAAAGACGCTAACACTCGACGAGCTCCAGCAGATGCCTACCAAGCAGCTCCGTCAGCTCCTCACCACACCGGAGAGCACAGCTCCTCTCCGCGCCGCCATTTCTGCCATCCTGGACGAACGCCTAACACTCCTGGAACAGCGCGAAGAGCAGATGAATCTTCACCGCGACGAGCTGTAAGACTCCAGTACGGTAGCTGATGTAATCTGGTACCGTAACCGATGTATTCAGTGGATAGCAGTACCGTAGCTGACGTATTCAGTGCCTTATGAGAGTAGTCCATAGCTTAGATGAGGTCTGCCACGTTCATGGGCATCTCGTCGATCTGCGTGCTATAGTACTGCTCAATGTCTCGCAGGATACGGATGTCGTCGTCCTTGACAAAGTTGATGGCCACTCCCTTCCGCCCGAAGCGACCCGAGCGACCGATTCGGTGGATATACAGCTCTCGGTTGTTCGGCAGGTCGTAGCAGATCACCAGCGACACCTGCTGCACGTCCAGTCCGCGACCCCACACGTCTGTGGTGATGAGGACACGCGAGCCACCCGAGCGGAACTCCTGCATGATCGCGTCTCGCTCCTTCTGGGGCATGTCTCCGTGCATGGCCGAGACGGTAAAGTTGGCTTCGCGCATCTTGGACGTCAGCCAGTCCACTTTCCGCTTCGTGTTGCAGAAAATGACAGCCTGAGTGATGGTCAGCGTGTCGTACAGGTCGCACAGAGTGTCGAACTTCCACTCCTCCTTCTCCACGGCCACAAAGAACTGCTTGATGCCTTCCAGCGTCAGCTCGTCACGCTTGACCAGTACTTTAACCGGTTCGTTCATGAACTTACGTGTCAGGTCCAGTACTTCCTGGGGCATAGTAGCTGACACCAACAGTACTTGGGTAGACGGCGGTAAATACCGGTAAATATCGTAGATCTGCTCCTTGAAGCCTTTGTTCAGCATCTCGTCGGCCTCGTCAATCACCAGCATTTTGATGTTGCGAGTGCGCAAGTTGCGGCGGCGGATCATGTCGAATATCCGCCCTGGAGTACCGGACACAACCTGTACACCAAAGTCCAGACGACGGATGTCTTCGCCCACGCTCTTGCCGCCAATACAGGCGTGGCACTGCACGTTCATGAAGTCGCCCAAGGCCAGAACGACCTTCTGCGTCTGCTCCGCCAGCTCTCGGGTGGGGGAGACTACCAGAGCTTGCGTTTCGTTGCTAGAGGTGTCCAGAGATTGCAGGATGGAGATGGAAAACACGGCGGTTTTGCCTGTTCCCGACTGGGACTGGGCGATCAGATCGCGGCCCTGAATTGCTGGCTTGATGGCGCGTTGCTGGATGGCTGACGGCTTCTCAAAGCCTGTTTAAACGCGCAATAGTTAAGTGTTATTACCCAGGTACTTTGCACTCCAAAGGTGATGTATAGTGCACGGCAGTTAGAGAAGAGACGTACCGTATGAGTAGATGCCTCGAAGCAGGTCCTCTTTAAGCCCCATGGCCTCAAATGTGGGGAACACGGTGATGTCCTTGGACGTCGTGAACTCCACTGTCTCGCCGTCATCTTCGTCCACAAGACGCGTACCTGGAGGAGGAAATAGGGCACCAATCGATAGCGCGCAACGTCAGCTACATGATTATTCTAAGTGGAGTGACTGAGGGTGCGTGAGGAGGGAGAAAGCGGAACGTACGTCGCTTGGTATCCTCGCGTGGCATAGTTCCGGCCTAGTTTTCGAGATGTGTGACGCCAGCCACTGAAGCATTTCTAACGTTTCTAAGAAAGAAAAAGGGTGCTATCTTTATTAGGGGTTAAATACTGAATTTACTCTAACTTGTTTAATAGCTTCAAACTAAACCTGTGTCGCTCTAAATTAAAGATACTGAAGCTACGGAGCATTGGTCATTGCTCAGGTATTGAACGGACACAGGGCAAGAGAAACGCAAAATGGTCTTTCAGCTCATTTTAGAGGCCCGTCTGAGCTGCCTCTAACAATAATGCACTACATGTATTAATACCAATCTCCTTTCAAAAACCGTCCATTGAATTGCTTGTGCGGTGCGCTCACACTCTTCCAGTTAGTTTCTTGATCACAACTACACCCAACTTGCTGATTCACATGTTCAGGACAAAAGTAGTACCGACATCGCGTCAACAAGATGGCGAAACGCTGCTTGATAAAGAGCGCATCTCCAGCTTACCAGCTCGACGTAGACGTGTCCAGTACAACTCGTTGGCTCTGATGCTAGCTATAATGCTCATGACAGGTATCAGCGGTTTATGTTGGCTTCGAATTGACGGTCCCAGGTCAAGCATTGCCATCCTTGACCGGGACGCAACGACAACTCTAAATCTTAGTCAAGACAACAAGCCTACTGGTCTTCGGACCGGAAATCAAGACATTACACCTACTAGTCTTCCAATTGAACATCAAGAGAAGCCACCTACCAGTCTTCAAATCGGAGATCAAGACAATACTCCTACTGGACTTCGAAGTGAAGATCGGCTGAAGGCGCCAACCAGTCTTGAAGCCCCTACCAATCTTCAAATTCAAGACCAAGACATGGCATCTCAAATGACACAGCAAGTGGACCTGAAGCCATTCGCCTACTTTTTCTATGTAACCAGCAACACGTACGCATGTGCAGCGATGCAATTCATCCACCACCTCGTTGACGATCTCAAAATGAACTCGAGTCGCATCGATGTTGTTGTGTTGCATACCTCCCATGTCGATGCTCGGTTTCTGCATAAACTACAAGAGCGACAACACGTTCGCACTATGATCGTTGACTCTGTGCAGGCCGACGCTGCAGAACCGACCTGGAAAGAGTCGCTGACAAAGCTCCGTGCATTCCAAGACTGGGGGTATAATCGCGTCGTGTTCATTGACGCAGACGCGGTGCCCCTGGCTAACCTCGACCACCTCTTCGACTTGCCACCGGCCACTCTTTACGCTCCGACGGCGTATTGGATCGAGCAGCCATTTTTCGCGAGTACGCTGCTAGTAATTGAGCCAAGCGATGCAATCTTCAACGATATCATTCAGTGGGCACGCGCGCGTGGAGCTGCTGCCGGCTTTGACATGGATATTCTCAATACGTACTTTGCCGATTCAGTACGATACCTGCCAGGTGTGTATACCGTGCTCAATTCGGACTTTCGTCGGGCGCCAACGGAGAGATCGACTCTATTCGAAACAACAGCGGAGCTGAAGGAGAAAACTCAATTAGTGCATTTCTCGTGCAAGCCTGACGCTTCGTACGGTAAGCCGTGGAATTGGCCGTCGCACGATTTGAGTTCACTTGACGGTCAACGATTCGATCCATTATTTCGGCAATTGTTTGTGGAATACTGGCGAGGAGAACAGGAGCTATGCGCTAACTAAAAGCTGATACTATTTAATTAATAGAATCATAGTATTAATATCCATGATACGATGGTTGCCTTCTTTGTACAAAGTTGCGCCATGCTTTGAATTTGGGAAACAATGGTCTCAGTATTGTAGTGCTGTACTAAAACCATTCATCTACACATTTAAGCCAAGGTACATGTAACGACATTGATACTCTATCGCGTCAATATAGAGAGTCCTTAGAGTCCAACATTTTATCGGTAGACCTGCTTTATTGCGCTTGACCTTATAAATACTTCCTTTTAACTACCGGATGTACATGATTTATGCGCAATATCCACTACTTTGTACATCCTTAAAGGTGTCCTAAAGCCCCATTGATGGTCCGCAAATATGGCACAGCATGCGATCATGTTTAGTCACGCTTATTAATACATCAACCTTTCACAGGTAGTATATTCAGCGTGACGTGCGTTTCATAAATCGTGCTAACTACATTATGTGGCTATTAATAACTCGATTGTGGACTCCGCAGTAGATCAGGACATGCGCACATTGCCGAAACCGCTCCAGATACATGTACTGTTAATCAGCACATTGCTGAATTTTACATGCTAATACAGGAGGTGAAAACTTGTTCAACGCTAAGCTAATTTTGTAGCCGTTTAGTCTGAACACGCCCTTTCTGTTCGGCTCCATACATCTGCTTTGTATTTAAAAGCGTACAATAGCATGAGTTTTGTAAACATGTACCCTGCTATGTCTGATCAAATTGTGTAAAAAAGGCATGTAATCAATGCATGTGCTTCGCAATCAGTGGATTTATTTCATATAATAGTGGGTGCCTTATTACATGTAATACAAGTACATGTACCTGTTATCTGAATTCAGGACTAAGTGCTAGCCAGAACGCTTCTCCAATAAGTTCGCCGCTTCAAGTTCGAGAGCTACTTTTTGCTGACCCCTATCATATTTTCTAGTAATAGCTGAGTCAAACACAACAATATGGCCGGTCCTCGCCTACTGACACTTTTTCGTGAATGAACCGCTCCCTGTTTCGAGGTGTTTGATAGTGACTGTGGAGCCCAAAACAGCTGCTTGTAGGCATAATTTACAAATTCAGTGAACACCGATGCAACAGAGCCAATTTGGAAAGAGTCAGTGACCAAGCTCCGAACTCTCCAGATCGGAAATACGACGATTTGTCTATCTGGAGGCAGTCATCTGTCGCTCCGACTGCTTCATCCCGCCTTGTTTTGCATGTACACAGCTGGTTATCGAGGCAGGCTAAAACATCTTCTACCATGCCATTCAGTGTACGCGCAAACGCGTCTCAACACGTGTTTTCGCAGATTCAGTACAGGTGTTCAAACATGTACCGCCCTATTAATAACTCGGAGTTTCATTGGGCCCCTCGAAAAAAATTTGGGGACAACGGAGCTAATGAAGAAAGCTGAAGTGTTGCATTTTTCTACGATTTTTAGGGGTTTACCGTGAACAACTCAATATTTCTTGGGGGCTATTGGCGCCAGAGAGAATTGGTAAATGAAACAAAATCCAGTTCGGTCTGTTCATCTACAAAAAATGTAGCAATTTTACAGTGGTCTTTATTTCTTAGATTAAATGTTATTTTACTTATCTTTTCCTGAAATTAAGTATGTGAAATTCCCGCTTAGACACTTGCCAATAAAATAATGGTATCCGGTGCTGTCAGAATGAATGTACGTTTGTGTTGCTTATATGCGTCCCTTTGGTGGGACCGGCAGTTAAGTTCATCAACCTCTTTATTATAGAATAGCACAGTGTTTTGCCATGATTGATAGATCGAGCCTTAAAATCACCATGACGCAGATTGAATGAACTCCGAGCTATTAATACGGTAGTAGAAAGCTGATCATGTTAAAAAGGCTTTACAACGTAGTTCTATTATTAAAAACGACATAAGCTCCACTGATTACTGTGGTTAGGACACTTTCCATGGCCTTGCTTCATGCAAAAACAACCTGTTGTACGTCGTCAACGCGCATGCTCATCTCAGATAAGTTATCCGATTCATTGGCGCAAGAAAACTTGAGGTACAGGCTCACCTAAACATCAACCATCTGCAAAAACAAAGATATTATTGGTGATTAAAAAATAGCCCGTTCTCACTCCCCCACGTGATCGCCCAGGATCACATCACAAGTAACGATAGAAAAGTCATGACTTCGTCGGCAAGTGTGTCAGACACGGTGAATACTGAAACTTCAGCTCAGATTCAGGACTGGGCCGCCTCAACAACTGAGGCATGGGCGAGAGAGGTCAAGGCGGAAATGAGGTTGGAACGCCGTCGGGCCTGTATCGCGCGCTGTCGTGAGAACACGAAGAACAAGCTACAGCAAATGCGTAACGAACGGGATCGTCTGGAACAAGAAGTCAAGCAATACATCACAGCGTTAAACGCCAGCACCAGCAGAAACGACGACGCACAGGCCGACGCTCATAACGTGTCGAGGGGCTTGTGCCAGCTCGCACACGAAAGTGATTCCCTCCGAGAAGAAGCTACTTCTCTCCGTGAGAGACTGCAACAGCTCCATCGTTTCTTTTCCCTCGTCCAAGAAGCTTCGACCAGCCTTGGGCAATCGACTGAGGATCTTTCGAGCTCACTTTCGGTTCGAAACGCTAGCAAGGTCTCCAAGTGGGTCGTTAGCCCCAACCATGACGAGTCCGGCTGGCAGGTGAGTTTCCCGAGTGGAGAGCCATCATTCAAGTTCCATCCGTTCACCCGGGTAGAATACGAAGGCATCCTCAAGCTCTGCGACGATACTCTAGCAGCGGACCCACCCTGTATCGAAGTCGCCGGGTCACTTTTTGGCTGGACAGTTCATAGGGCACCGCTCACGCACAGAATTGAGGATGATACGGTAATCTCCCATGCGAGATTTACCATGCGTGTTACCTGTTCATTGGACGATCTGGATGCGATAACAGTCTCCTTAACGGGCGGACGTGTCGCCGACAAGGGCGTAGGATACCATTTTAAATGGAGCGGCAAGACAACAACAAAACACGAGAGGTGTTAATTATTGTTGGTTAAATAGACCCCATAAAGAAACGTTAATAAACGTGGACGTCCAATAATCCTGGAATCATCGTTGAATTATCAAACAGAAAACAATTCCGTCAACAGCAACAGCAGCAAGGCGTCTTGCGACACAATATGCAAATGCTTCAATCATAACTGGCACAGATTCGAGTGCTTATTCTGAATCAGCACAAAATGAACGCTATAAACATTAAAAATGGTACAATTTGAATATTTTTTAGCTTTCATTGAGTTTGATAAGTGAACAATCTTTTGTTACTTACAAGCAGTACAACGAGGTAAGTAGTGCAAGCTAGACAGGCCATTACTATCTTTTGCGCTGATGTGAGCTAAATTTCATAGCGGCTCAGAAATGGCCCGTGATATCGAGCACGACGCTAAACTAAACATATTGTGTAGCGTTTGTTTAAATAGTTTGTTAAGTGCTGGTGGTTTTGGATGGAAGATGAAAATACAGTTATAGCCAGCAATACAAAAGAGATTGCATCAAGAATCTTGATTCAAGATCATAAGAATAATTATTTCTTAAATCAGATAAGCATGATGCTGACCCAAATTAATGAAATAAAAAATAGATTTACGTTCACATGGGCTCAGCGGTTTTTTCAATAGTTATCCCGCCGAAGCGTAGCGAAGGCGGGAAGGCCAAAGCAAGTTGAACTAAATCTAAACTACCGCCGCGTAGCGGGCGCTCGGCTAGCTACTGTAAGTACTGTAGCAAGAACCTTTTCACACTTATCGTAGAGCTCAGCAATGGATACCATCTGTTTACCCTTGTAGAAACGGTATTTTGGTTCGGACTTGTAGTCGGAAGAAATGGGCTTCTTCAACTTATCTACGTATTGCTTAGCTACTAGCTGTTGGTTGCTTGAGCGGGATAGATTGCTAACATTTAACACCCTCCCAGTTTTCTAGCGCACCTTAACTCGGTAGCTGCAGCCCCATTTAACAGCTTGTATTTTTAATCGCTGTAGTCCTTCAAGCTCGTATGCGACCATGCCTGCAATATATGTGGCAATAATAATCAGGTGGATTCGACTTTATAGTGGCTCGATCTTGTGTCAAAATTGACTTTACATTTCCGAAATTAATTAATTTAGAGATGCACAAGCCTAATCGAGACGCTGGAGCCAACATAGGTCATTTCTGTCGTTAGTCTTGACCCACTCGAGCGTGTTATCACGGTACTTTCCAAAGCAAATAGACGTTCTTGGTAGCCAATAATGGGCTAAATCTATCTTTAAGGGATCAGATACAAAGGAGTACTCGAAAAGGAACTGAATTCATGAGTCATTAACACCGCAAAGAGTTTTAGGCTTTCTACTCTTGTATTTACCGAAACTTAGCTTAAACGATGTCAAGCCGAGCTCGCGACAGTCCTTGCAGTACTTTTAGCTACCTCGGTACCAGCTTTAACATTCGAGGCAGACTTTGTAGTGCCCACCAAAGAGTTTGGCACACTCAGAGCCAACGAAATGGTGATTCTGATCCTTATCGATCGATTAAGGAGTGTCTCTTGATGGGAGTGTTGCAATAGCAACGTCCTACAACGTTCGGATAGTTCGCGGGGCACGGATAGACCTGGGTCTAGCATACTTGGGCCCATCGCCTCCTAATCGCATCCCAGTACCACATCAAAGTGTGGTACAAGAGCGTCGATCAAAATCTTTAGCGTGGCGTTGTCGGCCATTGGGTGCCTTCCAAAACCTACATAAAATATCGCGCATTAAAGTTTAATAACGATGAATTGTTTGGTGATACCACTTTTTGGTCTCATCAAACAATTCTAATACTACCAAAATGGTTAAACACATGCTTAAACGTCACTATGCCCGAAGGTCGCATTCCAGCAAGTGCATTAAGACGATCTGTAATCTATTTTCTTAAATGGTGTGCATTAACCGATCTGTAATCTATTTTAGAAAATAGATTACAGATCGGTTTAATGCACGCCAAAAAAGAACCGAACCAGAACCACGGTTCTGACAATTTTTTAGAACCCCTAAGAATCAGGAACCGGGTTCTGACAATTTTTGGGGTTGAAGTTTCACATTTTGGGCTCAGTAAAAACTTCGACAGGACACGTGAGCCTAATATATCCGTAATACTGTACTGGCTCATACCGAATCCTTGAGCTGAATTAAAGGCGGTACCGGTAATTGGTCCTACCCGGTAAGTTCATTCAAGGCGTAAAATATTTTAGATTGCCGATTAAACTGATTAAGCCGTTTAATATGGGTTTTGGAAGGCACCCATTGGCTATATAAAGGCTTCCTTTTTATAAAGTACGCGAAAAAAAATTAAAATTTAAATTCGGTTTCTGTGTTATGTTCACTTTTGCTAACGTCGTCTTTTGGCTTTTGCTTACGCTTACGGGCACGAATGTGATCCCTGTCCTTCTCGTCGTACCCTTTCTGGTACGCTAAGCGTCTTAAGATAGCAGCGCTTCTGAGCAGTTTTGTTGTGCTCCTTATGTCGCTGATAATAAATCACCTTACCAATAAGATTACAGACTGCTTAAACGCCATACCCTTGTAAAAGCGTTTAGGCAGTGTAGCATGAAGCTAAACTGATTCCCGCGGTACCCCGTCTAACGCGATATGCTCCCCACAAAACTGTTGGCTGTTTGAATCTCCCGCTCATAATGGGCACCATTTGCACTTCGCAAGATCAGCCGGGACATTCTACAGCTAAGGGTGGAATGCATGAGGACAGGTAAATCAGCAAGGGCATCGCTTTCACTATTAATGATCCTAATCGTGTGTCGTGACAGACGTTGGTGTGCGCTGGACTGCCTGCTGAAGGAAGGCAACGTAAGCTGCTTAATTCCTTGCAACGGCCCCCGATTTTTGCATGCGATAGTGAAGGTATGGACACCTAACATGTCCAGTTGGATGATGCCGGTCAAGGCCTGTGTATCGAGCGGATGAATGCGACGAAGTCTTCACGCGTGTTAGACAGTTTAATAAAACAGTGGAATAAAAAGTTCGTTCATGAACAAGACCCGCAAGATCATACATAGCATGGCTCCACTTTTTTTCTTCAGTTCAACTATTTACCATGCTTACACATGCTGCGGTCGACAAATAGCACCTACTAACCTCGAATTGTGTCCTGAGCCCTTAGCTTGGACCTGGGGCTCCGCTGCTACCCCGTATTAAATAATGTGAGCCGTACGTAGCATCTTGCCATTGTTCCACTGCCACGTGCTCCACTGCATACGCGGTCCTCCAAACCAGGATTGTCATTGGCCGCGTTCCACGATTACGTCCAAAGAAGCTACAAACTGGTTGACCTTGGCAGCAGCTCCTGGTCGCTTCGAGTCTGAATCGGAACCCGTTCGGATCGATTGCTTCTTAAATTCGCTTTCTAAGTGGCTTGAAACCACGAACGTTAAATACAGGCGATCTGTCGCAATACCAACGCCCTTTAGCCACTTTATAAAAGCATTCAATGGTGCAGCCTTGATTCCATGATCCCGATTCAGTGTCATCTGCAAGCCGTAGCATGCGTTGCCGACAAATACGAATGCACCCAGAGCACCAAACGTGTTTGATGTCGGCCAATAGTAGACTCCGCTTTCAACAGCTTTGATGTCGGCCAAACGGAAGAAGCGTACCGTTTTCAGTTCCCTAGGTATGGAAACGTCAACGGAGGCGTGTCCATCACCTAGCGGACGCAGCACCAGCTTGTGTTGCTTAGGCAAGCTAAACCATTTATGACACAGCAACTCGTAAATCTTGCTCCGAAGCACGGAGGTACTTCCCGAGTCATCACCATCGTGCGCAACCGCGAATTCTGCCACTTTCTGGAAACTTTCTTGGTCCACTTGGTCAATGATCGTCTCGGCGATTTGGTTGGACAAAAAATCCAAATAGAAATCCACTCGTAGATCCTTTGCGCTGGGCACCATCTGAAGGATACGGTGGCTGCAGTTATTTTCTCGCACAACTGACTTGCTTCTGGCTAGTGCTATAACCTGCAGAGCACTGAATGAAGCGACTGCACGTTGCAACTCTGCAGTTTCCTCAGGCTCGTTTTGGGTGAAGACGAATCTGGGAATCCCACCAAACGTATGGAATCTCGAAATCAAAACATCGTCACTCAGTTTCAAGTCATCTTGGAGAAGTGAGTTATACTCACGAAGCTCTGCCAGGGTCCATACAGGCATGATGTACCTGAATGTGTCGACCTTTGAAAAATTCTGGATGCCTTTGACTCCTGGCGGAGCAAATAGAATCGAAATTCCATGCCAACCCGCGAGCTCCGACGAAGTCCCCTCGATGAGCCGAATCACACGTTTCTCTCTCTGAAGACCAGATATATCAGTGTCGTTCACTTTGATAAACTTATGGCTTTCAGCATCGAATTTGTGGTATATCTTGCCATAATTCAGCACCAAATCGAAAGAAGGAAGCTCCTTAACCTCCACCTTAGTGCGAAATATAAGGTGAAAGATGCAATACAGGTAGAAGCGACTCTTTCCTATGCCTGGATTACCCGTCACCACCATGCTGCAATCTCCACCCGTGTCTTTGTCTAAATACAACTTGGCCTTGTTCATTAACTCTGTGAAAATCACAACATACGCGTCCCTCTCCATAATCTTCGTGAATCTCGTTTTCGGATGCGCCAACGGCGGAAACCCAGCCATTTCGAAATACGTCGTGACGCGATATGGCTCGTCATCATCCACCCTCACTCGGTTTGTCTTCGTTCGAATCTGGTCGATAAACCATTCATCAGATCGAGTGCGTTTGCCCAAAATTTGCGTCCGTGCTACCACCACCACGTTCACAGGGCCTCTCCCTTCTGCTGCTTCTTTTTCATCCACTCCACCAACATCCCTATCCGACAACCCCACAAGCCGTAGCCTCGCTTGCGCCGCTCCCAGCAGCTTCAAATCACTCGTGTCGCTAACACCTTCCTTTACGTCTTTTTCCGTCAGCCACGCCCCGTTGCCTTTCTCCGTCTTCGCCAGGAAGAGCTGCAGCTTGTATGCATCGACATCTTTGAAGTCGTTCGGCTTCTTCGCCTTGATCGCCTCCTTCAAGTCATCCACCGAGTCGCTCTCGTCCACTCGCACTGAGAACACGCTACCCGCCACACCAACAATCGCACAGAAAAGCTTCATCTTTTCTCCGACCGGCGAATTCTGGAATGAGGAAGAAGAAGGGAGAGAATTTCTATTCGTATTTAAGCGGAAGTGAAGGCGTGTCACATAGACTTCCAGCCAATGGTGAAAGGCCACTTTGTCGCGGCACCTGGCGTTAAGAAAAAATGCCGGCGTAATGTGCTCAACGAGGTTATTAATAGCATGATTTTCGCTTCGAAACAATCCTCCTTTGCATGTAATCCCGATGTTGCTATGTGCGGTGCTTGAAGGTGCGAAGGAGACCACCTTCGCACCACCCCTGCCAGGGGCCCTGGTCCAGAGGGCGCGTCATTAAAAACCGCAGCTGCTGTTGAAGAAGCTTTAAACCTACCCTCGCTAATAATTTACGCGAAGAAAAACAATGACGTCGTAATGTTCTAAACATTACTGCTGACATGCGTACGGCTTCGTTCGACGTGAAATTTGCCGACAGCTCGATTGCCACGATGCGCACGGGCTTCTACAGCTTCGTGGATGTCTTCGGGCGGTGGGCCCGGAGGATTCAGGACCTACCGTGACGAGAAGTGGACGGTGCCGGAGATGGCCGAATACCTGTACGGTGTTGGTAACTTCAAGAAACTGCAGCAGATCAAGACGGAGGTCGACCCGAACGAAATGTTCAACACGGACCCTCAGGCCCCGCTTGGCTTAGACGATCGTGTACATCGATTAAATTGGTGCTTCTATTCAAAAGATTTGTCTTCGTGCGACAGAAGTAGAAGAACACTGTGAATGTAACCACCTTTGAGGCTTTTGAGGCTCCGAAGGGCATAAAAATGGACTTGTTTGTTAACTATAGCCTTTCGCGAGAAGCAACTCTAGGCTCGTCGGGACTCAAATCAAGGTAAAAGGGCACCCTTTTAGCTCTATTAACCCCCCAACGCCCAACGGTTGTACGTACAGCAGGAATCATGTTGTACGTACAACATGTTAAAAGTTGGGCTATTTTGTTGCAAAATATGGGCAAACTTGAGAATGCACAGGGCTGGGGTTGTTGAGATCAGTCTCTTTGGCAATAAACAATACAGATTCTCCCCTGGGTTGGTGGCTGAGAGCTCATTTCGAGAAAAGACCTGAAGGAGAGACACGTGTGCACGATGGCCCCGCCTCGAGAAACACGCCGCGAACGCCAGCAGTTCCTGCAACGTCTGGATGGCCGAACTGCGCACGACCGAGAGCGCATCAGGAAGGAGCATGCGGCGTACCTGGCTGGCGAACGAGAGGAGGATGCTGACTTCGGAGAAGATCCAGCACCTACACGCAGCGCGACAGCTCGTCCTCTGCTTCCGGTTCCGATCGGCAAAGATGCCTGTTACGTGCGTGCGCAGCGACGTTTGATCTCGCAACAGCAACGTGCTGTCGCCGCAAAGACGTTGGCAGGCTCCGGCAAGAAACGGTTGGCTGCTAGTAGGGACTTGAGCGACGATGATGAGGACTATGATCCCGCTCTGTTCGACGAGGAAGCGGATGCTGATGCAGACGATGAGCGACTGGATGCAGCAGACTCCCCATCCAAGACACGGCTGCCAAAGAAGAAGAAGAAGAAGACGGGCCGCGGCGACTCCGACCAAGAAGGCGACCCCGACCAAGAAGGCGACCCCGACCAAGAAGGCGACCCCGACGAGGAAGGCGACCCCGACGAAGAAGGCGACCCCGACCAAGAAGCCACGAAAACCCACCGCGTCGCAAGTTGCTGAGGCAGCGGCAAAAGTAGCGAGGACAGCAGCTGCCGAATCGCGCTGTGAAGATTCGGCGAATGCCGAGGAACAAGGGAGCATCGCTTTGGCCGAGGCCAGGAAGAGATTGGAGGCGATTGCTGAAGCGAACAAGAAGAGGAGCCGCCAACCAAGTGGGACACCTGAGAGGTACACCATGTTTTATGCTGTCAGATACTACATGTTCTTACGAAGTGTTGTTGTACGTTGCGCAGGTACATACAACATTTGGGACATACAACATGGATACAGCGTCGCTATGCTTTCCCTACAACGTTGTTATCGACAACATGTATACAACATGTACAGCAGCTAACATATATTGTCTATCGACAGGGGTTCCACCGATCCTCAAGATACGTCAGAAGCACCGTCGCCTCGAACGTTGTCTGCAGCGCCTGCGCCACCCCCGCATCCTGAAAGTCCAGCTCCTGAATGTCCAGTTGCAGCACCAGAAGACGATCGGTACGTGGCAAAGTCTTTGATGCTGATTATGTATACTAACGTTGTGCGTATCATAGTGAAAGCTCAGCATCCATTTCCCAGACTCCTGTCCCCGACGCGGCAACCTCTACCCCTGTTTCGCCGACTTCTGCTCCAGCCTCGCTGTGTTCCGCTCCAATTTCGCCTGAAAGAACGTCGGTCTCAGCCTCTCCTATCGCTGCCCCCGCTTTTGCTGACGAGTTTGATGCGTTGAACTCTGATTGCGAGGAAACAGAGACCGAAATTACGTTTTACGATGATGATGACGAGTGGAGTCGAGCGAGAAGTGAAGGTGAGGGCTTTGCGTCGGGTGAAGACTACAGTGATGAGGACGATAGTGAGGCTGGATCAGATACTATGAGTGCTGATGAAGAAGCAGCTGGTTCGACACAGCAGTAGAGCGTCTTGGAGAAGCCGGAAATGGTTGATTTTGTGATGGACGATGACAACATGGCTGCCATGCGAGCTAACGGGTGGAGCTTAGGTTCGTGACAATGAGGGGTGTAACCTACAACATATTCTAACATGATATATGATGTATATACAACATGTAGACCCAGACAATTTCCCGCCTGACCAACATTACCCAGGATTATATTCTGGGGAGTATGGGCCAACCGACGAGGTACTGGCCCTAACACACTCACCGCTCAAGCTATTCTTCTTTTTGATGCCGAAGAGTTTGTGGAGACAAGTTGCAAAGGAAACCAATCGCTACTTTGTGCAGAACCTCACTTCACGAGTGGAGCGTATGTTCAGCTCGCAGAAGACACCTGCCAAGAAGTCCAAAGAGTGGTTTTTGCATCGTGAGGCCAAGAAGCGGGACGTCAAGCCGCACAAGATACTGCAAGCGCTTGGATTACTGATGGCAAGAATGCTGAACCCTCACCGCCGCAGGTTACGTGATCATTGGGGCACTAATGCAGTGGGAGCTATCCCACGGGGGACGTTCAACGATTTTTTGCCGCGAAACCGCTTTGAACACATCATGGGAAATCTTCACTTCACCAACAACGCAGACACGAGAGCAGCAACTGACCGCGCCTGGAAAGTCAGGTCTATCGTTGAAACGCTGCAAGAAACGTTTCCGTTGGGTTACAAAACGCCGCCGATCATATCATTTGATGAGGGCGTTCTACCTCTGAAGAACCGGAACAATCCTACGCGTCAATATCTCAAGGCGAAGCCTCACAAGTGGGGCACAAAGCTTTTTCTGACGTGTTGTACAGATACTTCCTACTGTATGAGGTGAGATGACTGCGAGTCCTTGCGGACTCGCGTTTTTTTTTTTGACCAAGTCTATCATGTTGTATCTAATGTTGTATGCTTGTATGCTGTATCCTACAACAAGAAGACTTGAGGTGTATTGTGGCAAAGCGCAGCAGGTCCATGAAGTAGGCAACGTTCCAGACAGTCAGCGATCTGCAGATCCAAACACCGGGCCGTCAGCAGTTATCCGAAACTTGGAAGCTGTCCTGCCACCACCCGAAGATGACGTCTATCACATTGTAGTGACGGATCGATTTTATACGTCAGTTCAACTGGCGTTTCAACTACTACATAGGAATGTCTACAGTATCGGCACGATAATGGGTGACAAAGTGGGCTATCCTCAGCAAATTGTTGAAAAAAATCGAGACCGACCCAAAAGCATACCGCACGGTACAACAAGAATGGCAGTGGCAAAAGCTTGCCCCCTAATGACGGCTTTAGTGTGGTGGGATAGAAAACCCGTGCAATTCTTGGGGACTGGATCGAGCCGTGCGATGGAGGAGTGTCGTACGTATATGCAAGAGGAGTGCTGTTTCCTATTCATCTAATCAATGTTGTGCTTGTTATCAGAGAGGCGTACACGTGGAACACACGGCAGACGGACTGATGTCCCTTGTCCTGCTATGATTCGAGACTATCACAAATGGATGGGGGGCGTGGATGTCCATGACCAGCTGCGCCTCCAGCGTTACTAGTTGCAGTTGCAGACTTGGTGCAAGAAATACTACAAGTCCATATTCTTGGGGCTTGTGGATGTGGCGATTGTGAATGCGTATATCATCTTTCGTGAGGCACATAAGCGAAATGGTGGGTCTCCAATGTCGCACGCAGAATTCCTAGTGGAGCTTCATGCCCAGCTGCTTGCTCTGACCAAGTACGACTTCGATGAAAGTGTAAGTCCTGATGTTGTATCTGTATCATGTTGGATAATGCTGACATATTGTATGACCCACATGCTGTATGTTGACAGCCAAGACCACAAGAGACCGCAGCTGGCGACGAGCTTCCACCCTTGCCACCTGGCCACGAACCTCGGGAATGTCCTGAGTACCAGATCGTGAAAGGCGTGCGCAAGCGCCGGCAGCGCCAATGCAAAGTGTGCGCAATTCTGAAGCGCCGGGTGGGAGAGCGTCGAGCCACCAAATACTATTGCGATGCCTGCAGCACTTCTGATAAAGCTCGGTACATACGAATTCGATATGGCTGAAACGACTACTAACTGTTGCTCGTTATGTACAGCATGTATCTGTGTACTCGTATTTGGCCGCACCACTATCCTGGCAACGCTCTGAGCTGCCACCAGATCTGGCATCACAAGTGGGCAAATGGAGCCAAATGCCCCAGGGCGCGATGTGGACGAGGATTCCAGAATCGCGAGGCTGGAGGAAAGGGTAAGCGCCGCCGCCGAAGTAGTGATGGAGAGGAGGAGGAAGGTATTAGCGAGGGGAGCGACAGCGACAGCGTAGCGCACGACGACGACAGGGAAGGTAGCGAGACTGAGTGAGCCGATAACTGGTGGTGGATGAACGTAGTGCTGCAATATGTGCTTTTTCTTACTGTATTCAATTGATGTGTGTTTGGTTTCGCTTTTCGTCGTCTTCAAACCTCCCGGCTTTGCACCGGATTGATAGGCTTCGTACAGTCTCTTGATAAAAGATACATCGACACCTTTTTTTGAAACCTCCATCATGCTGGATGTACGCCATATTCAAGCAGTCTGCCGGTGTATATACAACTTTGATCTGGTGTACATACAACATGGTGACGGGATTTGCAGAAATTGTCTTGTTGTGCATGTACAAGAAAGGTGCTCGGAATTATACGAGACTATAGTAAAGTCAAGTGTTGCACGGTTTTACATGTTGGATGAGTACTATGTTGGATGATTTGAAATAACGTAAAAAAACGGCTTGGGCGTTGGGGGGTTAAGGCCGGTTCCTAACGGGATCACGACGGAGCATGATCCAGTTAGGGTTAAGTGTACGTGCAGATCATGATTAATTCACTCTTAACGGGATCGTGACCCTTCGGGTCACGAAGCACAGACGTTTTGCTTCAGCAACACAAACCGGTGTGCTCGAGGTCTCTCGTTTAGCATGGAGTCCGCCGTCTCGACGGTCGCAGATGCCTCCACTAGTAGTGGAGCTTGTGTGAGCACACACTGGACTGCTGTACAGAAGGCAGGCAGCAAGCGCACAGTTCCTCCGCCCTCGTCGGACGACTACAGCACTTGGACGGTAGATCAACTAAAGTTAGAGTGTACCGCGCGTAAGCTTTCTGTGGCGAAGAATACTAACAAGGCCGATCGAGTTACTATCCTTCAGGGGTACGATGAGTCCCAGAATGCCATGGCGCTGCTACTGGACCGTCAGCGGCAGGCCAAACGTGGTAGGGGGCCTTCTGCAGAGACCACTCAACGCAGAAGCAAGCACTGTTTGTATCGCCTGCTCAACGTACTCTTCTCTGAAGATTTCTTCGAGAAATTTATCACATCTGGTGACGCACTTACACGGCGTGAGCTAGATGAGGGTGGTCGGGAGTTCTGGGAGCAGGTGGCCGAAGCTTTCAGTACATTTAACGATGACTTCGACCGTCTTGTGTCTCCAGACTCGTTGTTTGAGGGTATTGAACCGCAGTTAATTACGGCTCATTCCGGTGCAAAACTTAAGTCTATGTGGAAGGAATGTAATTCGCGTTTCGCCGCAGCCGAAGGAAGATGCAAATTATCAGGTTCACATGACGAATTTTGGCAATTTTGCCAAGGAGATAAAGTAGCCATGTACGTTCACCTGTGGTGTGAAGAACGCGGTTCAGGTCGGGAATTTTGTGCTACTTGTATTTACGAGGATAACGAAGATGACGAATCAAAAGAGCGGGGGCCAAGTGAAAAGAAGCAGAAAGTGAATAGGAAGCGGCAAAAACAAGATGATCAACGAAAGAGTCTCGATTCCGTTTCCATTCTCACTGAAGCTGTTAACAAACTCGTCGAGATTGAAGTATCGAGTGCAAAAGGAGCATTAATTGAGGAGAAAACCGCTGTTGCACGTCTTCAACGCGAGAAGATGGAGAGAGATGTATTGGTGGAGAAAATAGCCGCTGTGGATGGAATTTTAGCTCGTCGCCGTCAAGCATTGCACGATCTCGACATACGCATCTATGAGAACGGACTTAAAGGGATGGACGTCGCTGATCTAGAGCGTGAACGTGAGTCTGTATTTAGGCGCGTTCAGACTGCGCAGGAGAAATCGGACGAGCTTCAAGATCACATAATGAGGGACTAACGGATCAATGAATATTTGTTTTTACCTTAATATCCCGATTGGTTTTTATTTACTTAAAGGCCTTGCTAAATTGTATCTCTGAATGTGCTCTAAAACCACTTTGCGAAAGATATGACCGTTTACAACCTGCATATTATCTTTACCCGTGTCGTCAGCTACTGTGGGCAAATAGCTGCAGTTTTCCATTGCGTTAAATTCTCTTGACGCGGCATTGCTTGGTCCTCCACTTTCCGGCTGAGAAATGCGCTCGTTAATGCAGTAATTATGTAATTTCATACAAGTTTTGATAACGAGCCCTGCATGTACATAGTCCACTGCCAGTGGCCTCTTAAATATTTGCCACTTATTAACCAGGAGACCGAAGGACATTTCAATTCGACTGCGTAGTTGGGATACATAAAAATTGTAGTCGGAATAATCTCTGGTTTTGATCTCCGGTTTCGTAAAGGGCACCAGCACGGATGATGACAATGGGTACGCGTTGTCACCGATGACATAATACCCAAAGGGTAAATTGGAGATAGCAGTGTGCAATGGCCACTTTTTAAAAGCAACACTATCCGAAACCTTTCCTGGTGAGTTAAAACAATAACCGGTAAATCTGCACGCTGCGTCACACATGGCCTGCACATTTATACCGTAGCACAAGTAGTGACCCGAAAAGAAAGCTGATACGTCGGGGACTTCATTTGCACTTGGAGCTTTTATAGTGCACAACCACCCATCCACACAACCAACACAACCCGTAAGAATGTTGTATGTACTGATATCTGCAAATTGTGATGCTGCTCGAGTAATAGATTCCATGTCGTAAACAGGAGCCGTAATTTGATATCTAGGGTCATCACATATTGCATTCATCACTTCAATAACAGCAGAATAAAATTCAGAGGTGCTAACACCGGCCAGAGCTCGAATTGCATGATAAGAACCTCCAGCGAGCCATGATATAGTCATTTGTACCTTGTTTACTGGCGTTACAGGTCCGATACCAGTTCTGTTCCGTGACTTCAATTGATCGCGTTCTAAGACAGGCTTTAGAGATTCAACGAGCCGCTCGAATGCTATAACATTCATTCTATAGTAACGATCGAATTGTCCTTCTTGCACTAGTCGATCTCGATGCGGCTCCCACTCCAAACGTTTGCGTGAAACAACGTTCGATCTACGTCGACGACGTAATTCGCTCACAGCAACTACAACGGCGAGACAGACCACAACGCGAGATACTTTCATTGTCTTTCTCTTGAATGGTGCCCGTGACCCTGATCCCAAAGCGAGTGATGATCCCAATTTGGGATCATCGATTGTAACTAAAAATAAACATATGTATTTTCTAGCCAATCAGGTATCGAGTTTGTAGATCATGATCCAATGATGATCCCGTTAGGAACCGGCCTAAGGCCGGTTCCTAACGGGTTAGGCCGGTTCCTAACGGGATCGAGTAGAGTAGAGACGGGGGGATGAGCATATGCAGTTGGAATTGTGATAAAAGGTTGAAAAAATCACCATTTAAGGTTTTAATTTGATTGGCTAATAAGCGAACATTAGGAGCGATTGAGGCTTAGCTATCGTGACTGGACAAAACAAAAGGGTACAGCGTACCTTCCTGGTAATATAACGCCGAAAAATACGAAGATGTTTACCCCAGCGACCAATTTCTAGATGATGACGCGTTGGCGTTGATCAGTAAATGATGCTCGCCGCCGCGTGTTGGCGCCAGCATCAAATAAGCGGTGGGAACAACAAGACTACGGAGCTAATACAGCCTTATTTAGCCTACAGACAGCCGCGATCAGACGGAGGCATATAAGGACTGCTACATGATGCTCAAGATGCATCTTTATCAATTACTTAGTTAGCTGGGATCGAAACAGAGCCTTGACGCTGTTTTTTGTAAGGCTCCGTGGGTTGCAGTCAACTGGTGCATATATCTTACGGTATTTATGAACAAGTGAAACTTTGAAATGAGCTTTGGCGCCTTATTCTTTCTGCCCAACTTTCGCGATCACATTACAAGTTGATACCTCGACCTTCTGAATGCATCATATTTGACGGGGCGGGACTATATCTGTTTTTTGGAAATCCTTTATGTTTTGACGAATATACGATGCATGTCAGCCGTCCAGCATTTTCCGTCCTCATTTTGAAATTTGGCTGGAATGGCGGACACGAAGGCCGGGCGAAAACGTAAGCACGAGCCATCCGGCGCCAGGAAGCGCCGCCGTGGAAGAGCTAGCGTCGACGGAGCACGTGAGAAGACGGCGACGAGTCTTGGAGGCGTTGCGGCGTTTAAGGACATGTGGGCGGCGCTGACGAAAGCTGGCTGGACATCAAAGAAACCGACAGCTAAGTCTCTCGATACGCACTTCAAGTATATCCTACCTGGACGGCGACACGATGGTGAAGATGGGGTAGATTACCTCCTCGGTGGGCTGGCTGCCCTAAGGCTCATAGAAGACGTCTGCGCTTCTGAAGTCGCTACAGACGAAGCTACTCACGACACAGGCTGTGATGGAGATGCCGCTGAGACCGTGACGAGGAATCCTCTCTCCTAATAGCTTAGCTAGCTATGTGCTTGTTTTGGTGCAGAAGCTATCCTCGATGGAAGTGGCACTGGTGGGACGGCCGGCCAGATAGGCAGTGGCAGACATGGCAGAGCTACAGCTCGTCAGTCCGCAAGCGCGGCGGGTGCGCCTCGTGTCTGGTGTCGGGCATGGTCCTATGCTGACTAACAGTGTGTTTGTTGTAATGTAGCGGATGACATCGACGGTATTAAGACTAGTGGCGATGTTGATGTGGGCGTCGATGAAGCTGCCAGCCTGGAAACAGTAGCTGGGCATGGCACGCGAGGAGGTCGACGGAAGGGGGAGGGGGTCGGCAGGTTCCAAGCACGTGTACTGGAAGAGATAAGACTTGATCTCGACTCGCTACTGGCTGTGGGGTATCTGACTATGGTGGTGGCCTAGGCAATCAAGTTGCAGGCCGCGAGGTTTGCGATGATGTCGACACCGGTGGCGCTGCCGGTCATACTGACGTCGCTGGTCGTGTACCACGAGGACGCGGGGCAGGAGGAAGACCTGGAGGCCGTACAGCTCGGCGAGTGGTAAGATCTTTAAGCCCGTCAAATTCAAAAAGTGCGCGCTCGAATTCAAAAGTCTGTCAGATGTATTCCTCATTAGATGTTATATACCTGCAGAATCCGTCCATGGCATTAAGTGCCAACTTGCATGTCCTCGAAACGAAGAGTCCGCTGATGGCGGGGAAGTGTATGGCAGAATACCCGATTGCACAGCTCCGGCGTCACAACTTCAGCGAACAGGGGACCTGCAGCGAGCTCCAAGAATCCTGTGCGATGTTCGGTGATGGTCGCTCCGTCGGGGACGCAAAGAATAGCTCGACGCTGTCGAGCGAGGAAGCGTTTGACGGCGCTCTTGTAGGCGGAAAACGCATTCTCTATAAAATTGATCATGGGATAATAGGGGCCAAGCTCCGCATTTCTGCCGCTGCGAGCTCATCCTTTTCAAACAGAGGTGTGGCAGGGAGCGTTGACCAGGACCAGGACAATATCGTCGAGCAAAGTCGACAAACGGATATGGCGCAAGAAACTCCTCCTCTCTGAACACGTCCTTGGTAGAGGTGTGGAAGGAACCGTTGTCCAGGACCAGGACAATCTCGTCGGGCGGCGTCGACAAACGGATATGGCGCAAGAAACACCGGATGAACTTGTTCGCTAGATCGGATGTAAACGAGCAAAACAAGGACTCCTGATAGGCTAGCCCCGTGCTCGCGGTAACTGCAATAGCATGGATATTCGTGCCTTTTCTTGCCACACTTGTTTGCACTGCTCACCGCCCTTTGGCGCTCCATCCTCTTCCGCTCGAGCACCACAAGTTGAAGTTGGTCTCGTCCAGATAGAAGACCTTTTTGTTGTTTGCGAGAGCGGCGTAAAACTTGACAGCGTAGTCGTACCGCGTCTGCCTGCTGACTGGACTGTTGCGGCTGACGACGTTACTGTGCAGCTTCTTGAGGGTGATGATGTGCACGTCGAGAGCGCGTCGTACGGCTTCACGGCTGACTCGTACATCAAATTTCTGTTCGACAAGCTCAGCCATATGAACGAGAGTTATCTCTGGTGTGCTGCCGAGCTCGTCGAGCAGATACTCGACATGGGCTTCGACAACTTTCTTGGTTGAGCCACCACGCTGCTGCTAGGTGCCGCTCCAATCGCCGCTGTCCATCGCGGTCTTGATCCAGCCCCATGCCGTCCGCTCATAGCCATCGTGGAGCTCAGCGACAACCTTCCAATTTTTTGGTCTCTCGGGCGGCGCGCAGGACACAGGCTCGCACTGCTTGCGATTGTTTCTTATAGGTTGGTAGTGGCATGATGCCAAATCAGAACTGAGGTCGTTGGCTGTCGACCGCAATGTTCGTGCCAAGCCTCCCGCCATTTTCAAAGGCAGTCGGGTCCAACCGTCGGTGTCCTACAATACAGAATATAGTGTCGCTTAATGATATTGCGCAGGGCATTTGAATTTGAGTGCGCACTTTTTAAATTTGACTGTGAATAACGCCGTGCAATGGTGTATAGCATTTCGTGGAAAATTGACATCCTGGCGAAAGATTGTCAAATTTCAAATTTTCACCACGAACTTTAACTTTGCGACCAGGTGGCTGATTTGGTCCAAACGTCGACCAAAACAATCACCGTAATCTAAACAGTGTTTTGGACCAATCAGTTGCTCGTTTAAATGTTTAAAAGTAATTTTGCCCCCCATCATGCTTATATTTTTGGACGGAGGAAGTACAAAAAAATCCCGACCGACCGGCCGAAGAGCATAGTAGCCATTCTAATACTAATCCATGTTCGTATGGATCATCTGGCTTGACGCAGTCTCATCTCACCATGGCAGCAATCATGGGTACCCCCATTTTCTATGATGTCAAATCTAATTTAATTGTAGTATTTCTAACTACTCTTATCATGTTTGGAGGTTTATGTGTCCGACTTTAAACTGAAAAAGAAGCAGGGGTCGCGGACCAAGCACTAAAAACCCTCAAGAGAAAATGCTGGAAACCGCATTCGGGTTGAAGCAGAATGAGTTCTTTAAATCGTCTTTTGGAACTAGCTAGCAGAGTGATGGTCAGAAAGGCAGCCCAGTGCGGAATCGCCGCACTGCTGCCAGTCCGAATATTTCCTTTAACCCAACAAGTTGTGTGTGAGTGCGTTAGATCTGCGCTCTGTTAGGGTTATGAGCCCAAATACAAGCATTCTACAGCGCTACGCGTTAGTAAACAGCACTCAAGCAACAAGATGTCATCCTCAAGCGACTCCGAAGACGACCGACAAAGCAGAAAGAAGGACAAGAAGTTCCACATCAACTCATCCGGAAACCCAGTGAACTGGGGGGGGGGAACTGGCCTTTCTACAAGAAGACCATGGTGGTGGCGTTCCAGAAGAGACTGCTGGAGCAGGTTGCTGTCGGCAACGTGACAGAAGACGCTTCGTGGAGTCAAGACCAGAAGGATGAGCACACGAAAAAGTAAGCGAAGATCCAGAGGCTGATCTTAGGCTCGCTGACAACGAGGCTCGCTGAACAGCTGATGGACCAGGAGACTGGGACCGATATGTGGGCGGAACTGTGCAAGATCTACGAAGGGAAGAACAATGACGCCACCAAGGCGCAGAAGGTGTATCGCCTGCAGGGCGAGCTGCACAGGACTCACCTGCGCGCGAATGGTGACGTGCGAGGGCATTTGTATGCGATGTTTCGCATTAGGAACGAACTCGCAGAGCTCGGATCACCATTGAGCGACCTTCAGATGGTCGACATGTTGCTGCGAAGCCTGCCAGCACAGGTTTGCTACAACGAGCTCCGTAGAAAAGTGCTATTTAGCTCGAAAATGAGCAAGTACACACCCGATCTTGTACGAGAATTGATTCTCACCGCTGAGACTCGCAGTAAGGACTGGGAGAAAAGTGCATTTGGCAATAACCAAGGCAAGAAGAAGCAAGGCAATGCTTCTAGTGGACAGAAGAGCAGTCAGAACAAGACTACTGGCGATGCAAACAAGAAGAGAACGGCAAAGGCAGACGTCGAGTGCTTCAACTGCGGTGGTAAGGGCCACTACAAGCATCAGTGTCCGGGCCTGGAGGACAAACCCAGGGAGAAGAAGAGTGCAAAGGCAAAGATGGCACGGTCTGATGTCAAGCCCGCGGCTCAAGTTACAGCGGATGCGACCGTTGAAGATACACGTATGCACAAGCGGGACGTGGTGTTGGAGAAGTAGTGAAGCGAGTGGCGAAGGACTACGATTTCAGTCGTTGGTATTTCGACAGTGGGACCAACGCCCATATTGTGGCGAGCAAGGAGTACTTTACGGTACTGAATAACATGGAAGACAGCGACTGGAACCCGACAATTTCGGGCTTCGCGGACGGTGTCGACGCCCAAGCAGAAGGCTTTGGGACGATTTTGCTCGCGACCATGATAGACGAAAAGATGGTATTTGCTTTTGCCGAAGACGTGTTATACGTGCCGAAAGCTGGTTGTAACCTGTTCTCACCTGGACAAGCACTGGAGCAAGGCTTCAAGATGTCGTGGGATCAGACGACACTGCTGTTTGGTATGTCGAAGGACAACACGGAGGTAATTCGAGCAAAGCATGAACATCGACTGTGGACATTTGACGCGCACAACATCGGTGGCGTTCAAGTCAACAAGAAGTCTACTGCTGTTTGGAAGCAGGTAGTGGCAAATTTTGCGGTGACGGATGGAGTCGAGGACATCGACGTCTGGCATGCGCGTCTGGGGCACACATGCCCGGAGTACATTCGCCTTATGGTCGACCGTGGAATGGCCAAGGGCATCATGCTGAAGAAGCGCTGGGAAGATGGATTGCGCTGACTGCCATTTCGGCAAGCAGAGATGCAAAACCTTCCGGAAGAAGTTGGAGCGGAGCATCGAGAAAGTGAACGACTTAGTGATTGCCGATTTACATATACCTGGACTTCACAATGGCACACAGTACAGTGCAGTGTTAGTCATAATGGATGGTCTCTCTCGTTTCATTACAACGTACCTGCTGAAGTCGAAGACTGAAGGCGAGGTGAATGGATACATGAAGCAATACATTGCTTGGGCTGAGCGGCAACACGGACGTCGTGTTGATACAGTGATCACTCGACGATGGGATGCTGCAGCTCGTGACGAGAACGATGCCAACATTGGGCCAGTGAAGCAAGTTCTCACGGACAAAGGCAAGGAATTCTGCAACAACTCAATGGAGAGCTGGTATACGGAGAGCAATTGTCCACACGAAGGTTGGTCCAAAATCTTCACAGTTGAATTTGGTGGAGAGGACACATCAGACACTGATTAACATGGTCAAGACAATGATGCACGATTCGGGGCTTCCGAGGTCGTTTTGGACGCATGCTCTACAGACTGCGGTCTATCTAAGGAATCGAGTCTTCTGTAAAGGAGCAGGGCGAACCCCGTACGAGATGATGTACGGCACAGAGCCAGATCTACATCACATCCGCGCGTTTGGATCTCTGGTGCACTGTCATACATCGGCCGCAATGCGCAAGAAACTAAGTGCGAACTGCAAAGTGGGGTTTTTGATCGGCTATCAGGAAGATGTTGTTGGCTGCCAAGTGTACTTCCCTACCGAGCATCAGAAAGGCTTCGTTGCAGATGTGAAGATAAATGAAAACATCAAGTACAAGGACCGCTATGGGAGTGCCTTCAAGTCGAAGGTGAACAAGTGGCTGCAGACTTTCGATGAGTTTGTGCAGGATGGTACTTTTGATGATGCAGAAAGTGATAGTGATGAAGCGTCTCAACAAGCTGAGTGTGACCCCGTGCGAGCTGATAGTAATGTAGACATGGAGAGTGTGGCCACATGCGACGGCCTTGATGTTGCTCAAGAGGCTTTGTGGGACAATAGCGTGGAGAGCAGTGTACTTCCCAAGTACGACCAGCCATCGAGCAACACGCCGATCAGCACACTAGATGAACGTGACGAGCGATTATGGGGGGACATCCTAAAGAACAACTCGCTTCCAGACTACGATGATGCGCTCGAAGATACGCAGGAGGGCGAAAATACAACCATATTGAGCATTGTGCTGATGGAGGTTATGACGAAGATGATTTTCAAGTTGGTGAGGATTCTCAAGTTGATGACGACAACGATAATCACACGGCTGATGTTTCTCAGATGGAAGATGGAGATTCTTTAAGTGACAATGACGCAGAGTCGGTGACTGAATTTGATGAACATGATGGGCATGAGTTTGATACAGATGATGGATTAGACGTTAGTCATGTGTCGGATTTATTCCAGTAAATGATAGCGAGGAGAGCGAATGCAACGGCTACGACTGCTTGTTCGACCCGAGTGACGAAATAGAAGCCGCCTATCAAGGCATGAGTGATGCAATGAATGATCCACCAGGACCCGGAGGTGGCGCTCTCGCGTTTCCTCAGCAGTTACTAGTGGGAAAGGTGCATCTGAGATAAGAAGAAGTTCGCCGTGCGCAAGACCGGAAGCGTACCAAGATCGGAGCGAAGCGTGCAACAGCAGCACGACGACCAGGACTGCGCGAAGTTCCAAATACTCGCAAACCTGAACGATACGAAGACTTTGCGGTGTACTCAGCTTTCAAGGCACTCCATGTAGATCGCCGTGACAAAGGTGGACTGCGCGCAAGTGACATCAAGATACCACGAAACTACAGAGAGGCAATGAGATCAAAGCTATCAAGTTTCTGGAAGGATGCTATGTACAAGGAGATGGCTTCACTGAAGTCCAAGGACGTGCTGTTGCAGATTCCAAGAACGGAGATGCCAGCAGGACAGCATGCTATCAAGACTATGTGGGTTTTTGACGTGAAGACCGATCATTTAGGATACATTGTGACCTTCAAAGCACATGTCGTGGCCCGAGGAGATAAGCAACGTTTCGGAATTGACTTCACGGAAACATTCTCACCGGTTGCACGCATGGCGACATTCAGAATGTTTGTTGCGGTATGCATCATTCTAAATCTAGTGATCTACCAGGGCGACGTAAACACATTGTACCTCAATGCTGCGCTTGGAATAAAGCAGTATTTGGAGGAAGTCCAGGGCTACCCGTGCGAGGATGGCGGGATGATTTACATCATCAACAAGGCACTGTACGGACTACGCCAGTCCGGAAGAGAGTGGAATTCAGAGGTGAATAGTTGGTTCGTGACCTATGGGTTCAAGCAGTGCGAGACTGAGCCATGCCTCTACTTTTACGACGAAGATGGCGAGTTTGCCATGGTTCTCCTCTATGTCGACGACATCTTGTGCGCGACCAAGAGTGAAGAATTTAAGAAAAAGATGTTGAGAAGCTGGACAAGGATTATGGTTTGAAGGACCAAGGTCTACTCAACACATATTTGGGCGTGCAGGTGGAACAGAGTGAAGACTCCATCAAAATACACCAGACCAAGTATTGTGACGATATTATTGAGCACTTCCACTTCAGTGGTGCGCATCCCAGTAGGATTCTGATGGAGACGACTTTGCGTCTTACCGTGAAGGACACTGACACAAACCAGCGCAAGCAGGTGGCTGCGAACGGCAATAACTTTCCGTATCGTGAACTGGTGGGGTCGCTAATGTACCTGACGACCTGCACTCGCCCAGACCTAGCGTTTGCTGTTGGACAACTCAGTCGCTACGTTCAAAATCCTACGCAGCAGCACATTGGCGCTGCCAAGAGAGTGCTGCGGTACCTAATCGGAACCAAAACCCAAGGAATTGTATACACCCGTGCCAAAGCAGCAGAGCAAGACAAGAAACTAATTGTCGACGGCTACTGTGACTCGGATTGGGGGAACGACCCCGATACACGCAAAAGCATAACAGGTTTTGTCCACTGTATGGCTGGTGGAGTGATATCCTGGGCGTCGAGGCGCCAGAGCATTGTTGTCAATCTACCGCAGAGGCGGAGTACGTAGCTGCGTGCGAGGCTTGTATGGAAGGCCAAGGATTACGCAACGTACGGATCCAAGTTTTCCCAAACTTGAAGACCAATTTTCGCATGGGAATTGACAACCTGGCCGCTTACGTCATGGCGACGAACCCGACCTACAGTCGCAGAACGCGACACATCGAGCTACGCTGGCACTACATCAGAGACCAAGTAGCTAAACGAACCGTGGATTTGTGGAAGGTCAAAACTGAGGTGAACCCTTCCGACATTATGACAAAGGCACTGGCTGGCGAGCGACTCGAGGCATTGTGCGCCATGATCGGTTTGTCGAAGCAGCATCTACCTCAGTGACCGATTCACTTCGGAGGAGGGCGTGTTGGAAACCGCATTGAGGTTGAAGCAGAATGAGTTCTTTAAATCGTCTTTTGGAACTAGCTAGCTGAGTGATGGTCAGAAAGGCAGCCCAGTGCGGAATCGCCGCACTGCCGCCAGTCCGAAAGTTTCCTTTAACCCAACAAGTTGTGTGTGAGTGCGTTAGATCTGCGTTCTGTTAGAAAATAACAGTGAGAGTTTCGTTCAGCACTTACGTCCTGTTAATCTGGCAGTCGTATAGGTTAATACACGTATAGGTACTAGTTACCTGGGCCACGAGCTTCTATCTCCCAAACATGTTCAACGAGATCTCCGCGGTATCCAACGAGATAGTCGTAAATGTTTGTAGTGGGATCACAATGGCCCGGAACAAGCAGCACTTTGCTGCCCAGAGCGGGAAGTTCGACTCTCTTCGCAGCTGCGACGTTCTGCGCTGGCTTTAGAATTCCATGCTCATCGTCTCCTCCGTGATACTCTAACGGAGTCGGCACTTTCTCCCCATCGACCATCGTGTGTACTGCTGGCGACCCCGAGTCTAGTGACACTGCCTTTGTGCCTGCATCCACCACTACACGCGGCACGGCAGCATTCCCATTCTTGCTCATTACCGTCGTCAATACATGCAAACTCTGTTCCCAGTCTCTGACAACCTCTCCGTCTTCTCCCAAGTTCCTGGCATAGTCGGCGTCATTGAACAAGTACGAGCCAGGCTGCAACTCTGTGAAAACCCCGCTCGAAGCTTCTAGTAAATACGTCCCAGTCCCTCCTCCAGTAACCACGTTACACTTCACTCCTTCCGTCACTAGCGCGTCTCTCACACTCTTGGCCTTCTCCACGACGCCTGCAATCACCGTCTTCTTCTCGTCGTAGCTTCGAATATGTTGGGCAGCGCCGTGATACGCCTGAATGCCCACCATCTGCAGCCTCGGAGCATAGCTCTCTATCTGTTTGGCCAATTCCACGGCCTCTTCTACCATATCAACGCCACATCGATCCTGGCCCACCTTCACTTCCACCAAAGCTCGGAAGTGAACGCCTTGGGCCTCTGCCACTTGTGCTGCTTTCTGTACAGTCTCAATGTTGTCGAAAATGAGACTGATCATGGCTCCTACTTTGGCTAATACCGCCATGCGTTCGTATCTCTCCAGCCCGTACACTTCGTTGCTTAATAGGATGTCGCGTACCCCTCCGTGGAACATGGCTTCAGCTTTGCCAACCTTCTGGCAGCACACGCGTGGGAAAGTGGCAGTTGCAACTGTCCGAGAGCAGAAGACTTGTGGGCTTTGGCATAAGGACGAATTGCGATTTTTGGAGACGCTTTGAGGGGCTCTGGAAGACGCTTGAGGTTAATTTCAAGGGCGTCCAAGTCCACGAGTAAACACGGCGTCTCCAAGGACGAAATCGAATCACCTGCATGCCCGGGGACGCGACGAGATATATGAGAGGCTAAGAGGGCTGGTAGGCGGCGGATTGATAGCGCACCAATAGCTGTAGCAGCCGCAGCCGCAGTCTAAGGAAGCGCCGACGAGCGCCACGTATTCGTTTGTAGTCGAGATGTTTTTGGAACTTTACATTTAAGTAGTACACATAATTCAAATACAATTTTGAACGCGTCAACAACACGGGCAAGGTGCTCCATGTGAATAGTTCTATTTACAGTCAGTATAAACTACGGAAAGGGTTACATGTCTTTTGCTTTAGATGACTCTTCCTGATGGTGGCACATGAAGCTGTAGCATCAAGAGTAAAATATTTGTATGATTATATCACCTCCAAATTGCAATTGGACTGGATATGACATGCTCTCCTCTTACACCATGGGAGCACAGCGAGTAATTTTCATATTTACTGCCGCTGTATCGAGATAAACGGCATGGAAAGACCACCCAAACAATCGTTGGGTTGAACACTGATAATTATTCTTAATACCAAGACTGATTTACAATCAACACAGGCAGTTTGTGGCACAGGCAGTTAGTGGTCGTGTAGCTAACAATTGTAAGCGAAACCTTTTGTACAGCCGCGCCTTTACTTTTTACCGCATGACTACACTACTATACCAATGATGTTGAATCTACATCGGGGCAGCCAAGGAGGGGGGGGGCGACAACACCTACACCTACAATTAGATAAAATTTAAGTAGACAAAAAAAGAATCTCAGCTTGACGGTGTTTCTGAAATCATGGGCAAAACATTGGACGATTCTGTATAGTGTTCCATGATTTGGAACATGGGTCCTAAAAACAATGCGTCTTCACGCAGTGAATTAAGATCCTTTTATCAGTGCCAACCCCACTTTCGTTGAAGTATTACTTTAGAGAACTCTCAATCATTTTCCGGACAAGACATGTACCGTATATGAGATCTCAAACTACATCGATATCTCTCACCACGCTGTGAATAACGCCGTGCAATTGTGTAGAAATCTGTAGCGATGTAGCGCGCGCGATTATCTATTGAACGGTGCCACGTAGAGTGCTTAATTATCTCTAGGGTCGACCGAAAACAACAACAGCATTTGTACGGGCGTACTTTGGCAAAATACGACAGTACTATCAAATGACTTGAATGTGTAAACATACTGCTTAAATTTTCGGACACAGATTAAGCAGATGTCCCGCTTATATTTTCGGACGGAGGAAGTATCTTTTTGAAACTACTCCTGGATCGACCAATAAGACCCTATTTTACATCGCTTAAAAAGCTAAAAGGTTAAAGCTTTCCGCCAATCAGGGATCGTGGATAATTATTTAGTTACAGCTGAGAAATGTTGCAATTTTTGCTAGGAGGGATGTCAAAACAAGGCTAGGGAAGGTGGGATCCGGGACTCTTGAATAAAATATTCGTCTAGACTTAGGGAAGGTGGGATCCGGGACTCTTGAATAAAATATTCGTCTAGACTTAACTAAATAAACCAAACTCTAAAACGGAATGATGTCCTATCTTTTAGGCGGAAGTATTGGTTATCATTAGATAGTTCTTTTGGACGCTTCTACTGCCACCCCAACTTCTTCACCTTGACCCAGAGCTTGGTCCACGTAAGTGGCTTGATGTGTCTTCGTTTTGGCATGGCGATCTTCCTCTCTCGTGTCCGTCCGATTCGCGAATGGCGCGAAATTTGCGCGCCCTAAATCTCGAGATTTTGTGGCCGCGAATAATCATACCCGAGGTTAGCAACGTGACTCTAATAAATATATATTTGCACGTGTCACTTGTAATTTGTATAGAAAGACTTAGCATTTGTGTGTAGCAAATTATCTTGATATCGTATCCTGTATTATACAGGGTACTAAACTTTTTATCCTGTATAATACAGGCTGCGGGGCTAAAGGGGTTAAAAAAATGATTGCAAACGCACTCTGCGTTGTCAAGAAGAAGCACTTTGTTACAAGTTAAAATATGATCTGATCGAGCATGTGTGGTTTCGATTTAGCGAACGCAACTAGAAATGAATGGCCTTGATCCCGCAGGCTTAGTCACAATAGCTAAACTACCGCTGAGATGTGACTTGGGCGTTGTTGTTGGTTTAATTTTCCCTGGTTGGCTTCAGAAACAACCGGCATATACGCTCGATCAGTGCTTCCAGGTTTGCTTTCGTGAGCATAGACTGTATATCAGCAGCCTCTGCTTGCTGCTTTGTAGTTGGTTGAGGATAGCCTTACACTACCTCGCGAAGCGTTTATTGATTCACTGCAATGTGAATCATGCATGAAGATAGCCAATCGCATTTACGCTGTGGTGTTGGGGGACCGGCACAATATGCGAAATTGCTGGATTTAAGTTACCAACAGCCCATACACCGACTAACGGACCCCCCCCCCGCGCCCCGATATTCCGTGATCGGCTGAACTTTTCGACTCGTCGGTAGGGCGGGATGTGGCTCTATCGGTATGTTGTATTGGTGAAGCTTATGCGTCTTGGCGAGACGTGGGGAATACCTGAAGTAGTATTGGTAAGATCTTTACTCTGCGCCCGTAGTTATTCCTGGATCTTAAACGAATATGGGAGCTTGGTGTATCCCGGGCCTAGATCTGGGATCTGGCCGTAGGGCTGATTTGCGGGTGTGTTCCCTTACGTTTTCGCTCCTTTGCGTCGTACTTGTCGCTGCCTATAGCGAGATCTAGATAATAGAGAGTCGATAAGTTTACCCGGCCAAGTAGTAAATCCGACTAGCTTTATGGCGCCTATACGGAAAGCTCACTAGGTGGTAGGATCTGGCCAAAATATAATACAATTATCACTATCCACGCTAGATCAGCAATTGCCAACCTTCACTGAGCTCCTACGGCCAACATGATTCCGATTCTTGAGGACATGGAGACACTTGTGTAACACAATGCAAATTTGAGTATGATTCATAGTTAAGCGAATGGCTGCCTGGATTTCTACCTTCTATGAGTTTTACCTGCTAATTCCCTTCCAGACTCGGCTGTCTGCCCCTTCTTTCCTTGTCCCAACCCCTAAACTGTTTCAGCATCATATATACCGGATTTGTGGCGTAATCATTGTGAGGTCACCATATTATGAATATTATGCCCCGGACCCAAGCCCCAATAGCCCACCATACTACAAGTGTGCACCTCCTTATGGATCTGAGCCCTTCAATCAGCAAGCACCACAGCACAAATGATCCACAAAAGTTTGAGAACCATCGGATCTAGCACTCCTATACCATAGATCCTTAGTAACGCTGTGTGGGATCCTCGATCCATTGGATCCCAACTGGGGGAAGTGGGATCTGAGACATCTAGTGGTGGACATTGGCTTCTCATCATCCATTCATGCCGGATCTATCTTCAGCTGGTATCTGCGGCCCTTCCTCCATTAGATCTCCACTAGATCCACCCTCTGATAGTGGATCCCATATCCCCGTCGACGTACTTGAAAGGAGTGGATCCAAGCATCAGCTTCATAAACCTCAGCTTTACGACCATCAATCATGTTATTATAACCGCTGTGCAGGCCCTTAGCCACCGTTATCCTCCGGATCCATTATTTGTAAGCTCTTATTCCAGTTCCACAGTCAATCCACATAGGATACGGATCCATGAACTTTATCCTTCGATTGCTAATCAATGGTACCGTTTCACGTCACCAACGTCATTCAGAGATTTATAGTGGTAGTCGCCACCTTTGCCTCACTTCATATAGGACGGATTCACATCGAGCAGTACGAATCTACATCGAGCGGTCCAGATTCACTCTATACACCGGGTACCGTCACTAATTGGTGATAATGACGCCTCGTCGGATCCCAATACTCATGTCTAAGAAAGCGCTTCACCACACTGCTTCATCATGTTTGATACCTTTACGTGGCTGCTACGAAGTGGAGATAAGCGTCCTCACTGTTGCTGGATCTGTCGTTTGAATTTTGATGCGCTGCTTTCGCCGCTTTGCGTCCGCCAGGTCGGGTCACGACTCCGTCCGCTCCAACTTTACGTTTATTTCCGGTCCCACTGCCGCTCGTGCGCTCGCTTATCGACTGGAGCATCAACTTCATTTCTTTTCATCAATAAATTTAAACTGCTGCTTGTGGTGATCTGAGTAGATTTTCAGTGCAGCGTCAAGTTACATCTGCTCGCTCCATCGAGACCTCTTGCTGTTTTTTTAACTTTGCCATACACACCGCCAAACGTGATCACTTCCGGCTGCACATCTTCCATCGGCCATTCACAGCAGTCTCCAAGCGATCTCTGAGCGACCATTGGCATCTTCGCTCTTGTTCTCGAGTCACTATTGGTACAACCTTCTCATGAAGGACCTCTTCCACCGACGACCGCATCTTCAGATGTCTCTAACAATGACCGACAAAGCTGGCCTGTTTCGCTCCGACTCCATCCACGCCTTTTTTCCATGGCGACGAGTGCGCTATTCAGAAATCTGAATCCCCATCACTTTGCTGAACGCCTTGGGCCTCTGCCACTTGTGCTGCTTGCTGTACAGTCTCCATATTGTCGAAAATGAGACTGATCGTGGCTCCTCCTTTGGCTAATACCGCCATGCGTTCGTATCTCTCCAGCCCGTACACTTCGTTGCTTAATAGAATATCGCGTACCCCTCCGTGGAAGATGGCTTCAGCTTCGCCAACCTTTTGGCAGCAGAGTCCTACGGCGTGGGAAAGTTGCAGTTGCAACTGTCCGAGAGCAGAAGACTTGTGGGCTTTGGCATGAGGACGAATTGCGATTTTTGGAGACGCTTTGAGAGGTTCTGGAAGACGCTTGAGATTGACTTCAAGGGCGTCCAAGTCCACGAGCAAACACGGCGTCTCCAAGGTCGAAATCGAATCACTTGCATGTCCGGGGACGCGACGAGATACGCGAGAGGCTGAAAGTGCTGATAGACGGCGGATTGATAGCGCACCAATAGCTGTAGCAGCCGCAGCAGCAGTCAAAGGAAGTGCCGACGAGCGCCACATATTCGTTTGTTGTCGAGATCTTTTTGGAAGTTTACATTTAAGTGGTATACATAATTCAAATACAATACTTGAGCTTGAAGAATGGCAAGATAGCGCTTTTTTTCAAGTGAATACTTCTATTTACAGCCAGTATAAACTGCGGAAAGGGTCACATGTCTTTTGCTATCGGGAGCTCATAAAATAACTCAGTCGATCAGTATCATGAAGGCAACTTTTAGGT